ACACTAGTTCTTTCACCGCCAGATTATACCGGCTTCAATTTCCTGCTGTATCACCGCTCAGAATTGCTTACTTCAGTTACGCACCTCGAATGTACCGCGCCGTTGGTAGATATGGGGTTCGACACAAGCCATCGCCTGCGCCCGATGTGCTCACCCGTGCTGACACCCTCCCGAATCTCGCGTCTTTCACGCTTATCGTACCTCCCGGCCCCGCCCACATCCGCCCGTTTGTCGGAAGGACTCGCCAGGCGGGCTGCCAATGCCCCGTGCCCGGGCCGCAACAGCTCATAGTCGAGTTTCTGCCGAGCGGGGCTGCTCCCGACGACCTGCGTGCTCTTAAGCGTCTGCACAAGAATAGTGGTATCGAGACCTTGTTTCCCAACGGATATTTGACAAGGAGTACCTGTATTCGGAAGGAGTAGTCGTTTGTATTCAGTTAGTACCCGCCATAGTGTAGATGCAATACAAGAATTCGAATCACACGAGTCCCTCTGCTCGAAAGTGATATTACTAAGAAGGGAAGTATAGAACATTTGTTGTGGTACCATATGGGGAGCCAGTAAGGGGGACAATGCAGAAGTGGTATAATGCGGCTGCGTGTATATGTGCAGCCAAGAAAGAGATCAAACGGAAAGAAAGTCTTGAATGCGGAAGACATTGCCATCGGAGTACATGCAGGGAGTCGCCCGACAGAACTGGATACCATCTTGAAGCCACCTGGAGAAAGTTAGCTGCCGCCAGCAGGGAACGCCAAAAACTCGCACTTACTTGTCATTGGCGTCACTCTTGCTTCGTTGCAAGGGCGAAGGGCATCGCAGTCCGTGAACATTGGCCCCAGAACCACCAATCCACAGCATTCTTCGTATGCATCCATAGCCCACAGAAACGCCTCGCTTTCTCCCACACACACACTACTTCCACCACGAAATCAGCCTCGGCGAAAACAGACCCAAAAAGGGCGTTTAGCTCCAGGTATCGCAGCCGAAAGGATTGGAAAGGAAGCCGTTTCAGTAAGGCAGCAAGAGATGCGGCTGCTGGTGCGTTAGACAGCGTCGTTTGGAAGATATTTCGAAAGCTTTCGTTGCGCGGGCGGCACGTGACCTTGTCATTCGAGACGGATGTCGTGGCCGTGGCCGTGTTGGATAGGTGCGGACAACGGCTAGGGAGCCAAATGCGGAGGAATGAGGGGGGTGAAAGGGTGCAGTCAATGGTGTTGGATGAGCGGTCTGCTCATTTAGCCGTTGACTGGTCATCCAGTCGTTATATGACCAGGGATAGCAGACACCCCCGCCAGTATGAGCGTGAGGTAAAGGAATAGGCCGTGCAGCGCAGCTGTGAAATGGGCGTTCTCTGTGTGCGTCCGCGGTTGTAATCCGCTTGGGGTGGAGAACGATCCTGAGTGCTGCCCGCTAAAAGTCAAGCACTTGTAAACGAGTGAGCAAATGAGCGCGTCTGGGCAGCATAACACAACACACCGACTACACTCGAGACAGTTTGCCGCACCAGTCGCTGAAAGGAAGGGGTGCTGGCGGCTTCTGCGCGTCAAGTCTGGGTCCGACAAAGTCAAAATGTGTCTGGACGCAGGGTACTGCCAACCACGCACCTGAATTCGGCCAGAATCCGCCCTTCACGGCCCACTGCAGAACCTTTCCTTCTCCTCTATGCCGCAAGTGCTAGTATCCTCGAAGACTATGCTAAACGCGTCAACAAAGTCGGCAGGGGAGGCTGGATTCACACTGACCCGTTCTTGCCCCCGATACACTACAGCTTCAGCCAGAGCTTGCTTTCCGTGTCCCTCGTGCCGCGAAACGGTGCCGCACGCTGTCCCCAAACCGTCTGACTGGGAGTCAGCAAAACGGCTCGTGCAATGCTGTTTCCGATGGACGAGTCTTCACCATGAGCGGCAGTGATGAGTCGTGGGCAGCATGTAGCGCGCTGTAGGCAGCAGGGAAGAAAGGGCCAGTGTCGTGGTCATAGTCGTCGTGGAAGAGAGGAAGGAAGGTCGGCCCGGACCATGTGATCTTGGGCCCCGATCTTTTTCCCTCTTACCGCGACCCGCACTCGCCGGCTGCTGCCTCATCGACAGCTGTGTCTCTGGAAATATCTTCTTTCACATCAAGCCAACGACGACCGTTTGCTGGGGATGTGTATCTTTCCTCCTGTGTCGGCTCCTTTGTCCTTACAAGTACTTTGGCGCCTTCGACTCCAGAACGGCTTCTCCTCGCTCAAGGTGTGTGTGTTGCCCATGTTGTCTTCCTCAACCAACACATTCTCAGCCGCGTGAGGAACGCGCACATGCGATTCTGCTTTCAGTCGGGGCCATGTGTGTTGCTGGGGCATAGTTTCAACCCGATGGAGGATGGAGATGGGCGGGCTTTTCGAAAATAAAGTGTGTTCGCTGGGCACTGGACAGCGCACAAGTGCGACTTAACCACTATCTCTAGGCAGTCGCAACGCATGCCTCCTCAAGACTATGATTGTCCGCCTGTTTCAAGTTTTTCCCTTCCAGCCAGGCCGAATGGGTGTCGTTTCACACCCCGCTCACACTCTGCGCGCAATTGCCGACGTGTAATGTAGGATTTATCACATACAAGGCAACAGAGTGCGTGCTTCAAGTTTGGCGTTTTCAAATCCGAGTATCCTCGTATCTGCTTTATAGCGGCAATCTTCAGTTCCTTTTTTGCACTCTCCCAGTTTACGTGACCATCTGTCGCGCCCTCTAACTCCAGGATTCATACCAATGGCAGATACAACGGCTTTGACACAACTCAGAAATAACGGCTTCGTGGAGAACGGGGGAAAACACGAACAAGGCGCCTCTGTTGAATGAACGAGCATCTCCCTGCCAATGAGCTGCGTCTCCATATATATACTTACAACCAGTACTTACAACTATCAGTGACAGTTTCAACTCCTGAAAGACTCCGCATTATTCTCAACGTGAAACCTGATTCTGCGCTGGACGCGGAGGTCCCACAGCTGTGACTCCACCTGCGGCTCCAGATGCGGCTGTGAGCGATCCGGCATCCGCCACAATGAAAGCTGCACTTGGAATATCTCCTCCTGCCGTTCCCGCCCGCTCCGCGATTCCACGAAATTGTAGAACTCTTGGTGGTTAAATGACAATTGCGTGATGCATCTGAATGTGTGCAGCTCCGGGACAAGCTTGTAGTCGTGCCGATTCAAGGCCACTGAGACTCCGCCTGCCGAAAGGTCTTCGCCTGGAGCCCGTTCCGTGAGACAATCAAGAAAGTGGCTCGTGAGAATCGTCACTGGTGGTGCCGCGTCATTGTCGGGCCTAGTATCCGAGTCCTCAGCCTGCGAGTCCACGGGCAGAGCAAGGAGATCAGAGAATGCTAACGTTCGCAAACGTGGAAGTTCAGCTATTGCAGAAAGTAACTCGTCTTCGCTGAGAAATATATGGCGAATATCCAGAGTACGGAGATGTGCTTCCAAATGCGACCGTTGGGCAAGCGCCATAATACTGCCAGCGGGCCATGGCACAGGACTTTTTGGATAGCCAGAGCATCCCACTACGAGTTCGTCGAGAGCTGGCAGTGTGATGGAGGATGCAAAGGTATCGAGTAGCGCCGCACAAAAATCGGGGTTGTCTCCCTCCCGGTTGTCCACCCAGAGTTTGAGGCTCAGAATTCTAGATTCCGAATGGAAGTCTATATCGGCCTGGTAACCCATAGCGGGAGCAATGGAGATCGTCACCGACCGAGACAACCTGGGGAAACATCTCAACGGAAGATAGAGCTCGTCAGGATAAAGGCCCTGGTACGAAACTTCCTCGAGCTGTTCCAGCGGCAAACCTTCCAGGGAGGTCTCTCCCATATAGGTCACCGCGCGCAACTTTGGCGCCGCTCGAAATATTGAGAAAGTTTCAATCGCCCATTGGTATCTTCCTTCGCCGCGGATTTGAAGTTGGAGCCTTTCCAGGCTGGTGAATTGCCCATGAAAGTCGAAAGCTTCCACGTCTGACATGGAGCAAGCAAGAAACGCAGTTTGCCAACGGCTACATGCAGCACCAAGCATAGCAAGTGCACATTTAGCTCCCTCCGTCAGTGATGTCGAGGCAGAATGGGTAACCTTCACATGGAGGGGCGATTGTTTTGAGCGTCTGAGTGCAAGAGCCAAGAGCCCCAGAGCCTGTTGGGTCTGTCCCGCTCGGCTCGTCGACCATATCGAGCAGGAAGCCGAAATTCTTGTCCACAATTCGGCCGTATTCAGAACGATGTCATTCCACCGATAACACACTTGCGAGAGAGTGAGCAACGGCGCAGAAGCCAGTTTCAGGAGCGCAGAGGAGCAGGTTTTAAACCTCGGCTCGACACAGGAGACCAATTCCTTTTTAATGGCAGAACCGTCGAAGTCCATCCAAATGCAACGAAATATTTGAACAAGAATCTCTGGCGGCAGTCGGCGGATGGGGGAGTACAGGCTCCTTGCTGTGGCTTGCATCGCTTGCAGCTGCGCACGGAGGGCTTCTACCTCCGCCATTATAGCCTCTGTCCTTCTCATTTCGGCTCTAAGCTCCGCCAATCGTCTCTGGTATTGCGCTATCTCATCATCGTAGACCCTCATTTCGGAGATCATCGTCTCAAGATCGTCGGAGAGGTTGGCAGGAGGGGACCCGTTGCATCTGGAGCGCTCCTTCAGGGATGAAATATAGGCGGAGTTATCGATAAATCGAAAGACTGTCGCAATCGACATGAATTCGAAGAGAAAGAGTGAAGAAAGTAACAAGTCACAGCAAAGTGTATTCTCTTCTCAACCACCACCTCAATCATCATAATCCGGCGCTTTGCGTCCCATTTCTCCGACGCAACACTATTCACAAATGCCCATGGCCGGACCAGGTTCGTTATCATTCACCCCGGACCTTCAGCTTCAAACAACTACAGTCTGCTTCGAAACCACTTGAAGGGGGACCACGCTCTTGTATAAAAGAGAGCCGCAGGGCGAGAATGAACCATTGAGGCTTCACAGACGCTACTATGTTGGGGGAATGGAATGCACAGGCATCGGGCGACTTGAAAGTGGTGTGTCTTCATGGCCAGGTATTCATCCTCTTTGCTAACAACGTTATAAAGGTAGCAGTCCTGCACCACCATCCCTGTACTTCAACGCTCCCTCTCCTTTACCACCACCATCCAGAGTGGTATCCAAATCTTTCGAGTCGCAGCCTGTGCTCACCCGACGCCGCTATTTCTTCCCCCTTTTCAACATCTCCACCACCCAATCTTCCCGTGTCTCCCCGTATCCATGACCCTCCTCGTCTCCAACAGCAGGTTTCGTCGCCTCGAGTACGGAAGGGCGACTTTTTTGCGACCGAATCGTCGTCAGCAGGGCATCATCGTCATGGGCTTTGCGCCTTTACTTCTCAATATGAGCTGTGGACGATATTGCCCGTGCGGCTCTCCTACACTGTCGCTGGTTTAAACGCTCTCGTATGTCTTGTTTCTACCTCTGCTATCCGGTACTGACGCACTTTGGCATTGCCAGCCCAATTCGCAGAACAACTACCCATATCTTGCTTGTTGCTATATCCTTCGATAACCATCCTCCACTTCATCACCAAACGTGTCTCGTCCTGCGAGCGACTGGCAAGTTCTCCAACGGGATAGCTCTGACAAACGCGCTCCCCTTTAAAACTCGAGACCTTCGTTTGGCGGACCCCATACATCAACGCTACCACAACTCCTCCTTGCTATCCATACCTTTGTTCCGCCCAACGACTCGTGTTCCTTCGCGGCTTTTGGCCAGAGTTATCAACCTTTTACTTCTCGCGCAAGCAGCGAGATGATTTCGTCTCTGCGTATGCGCGATCGTGTCTCGCGAAGAATCAATCATGTCTTCAGTATCCACCGCTATTTCCTTCCGACATGTCGCAATCGAATGTACTTCCCGACAGTCTTTCCTCCTGCGACACATTCTCCTTCTCTCCGTCTGCTCGCCCAATACCCTGTTGCTCCAACGAATCGAGCGGCTGTCTGGACTGTGGGTTCCAGTCCTATTTCCCGGTATGTATGTCTTTCTATTGTGCTCCCGTTTGCAGTTATTCAAGTTTCCCAGACGCGTATTGGCCATATTCTTACTAGAGATTCCCTTTTGCCGTCTCCACGAACGCAGATAGATATAATTGCGGTGAGTATTGTGTTTACAACCACCTAGCAGTACTGACAAAGGCTGAGTGAACCCAGTAATCGTCGGCTTTCCATGTGCCCACTCATTGCGCTCTTCTCCATCTTCCCAGTCATCCTTCTCCGCAACTTCGACATCTCTTAGAGTCCACCTTCAATCCAAGCGTGTTTTCGTCTCCCATTCATTCGCCAACGGAGGCATATAGTTGCACAAACATGCCGTCGCCTCGTTCTCTTGTAATGGGCGGGGCTCCGGACACAAAGCAACCTTTCTTCCCGATGCCACATTCCCCTGCATAACGCGCATGTCCGCTCACAGTCACTGTTCTCGCTGGAACCCATTTCGGAGGGTCGTTATCTCCTCTGCAAAATCTTCCGCTTGGTCAGATGCGCGTGTGTCGTCGCACGGTGTCTGGAGGACATACGACGAAAAGTTATATCCTTTCTCGCCATATCTTATATCCTCGTACAGTACCTTTCCATCTCCCTTCGGTCTCTTCTCCCCTCCATTCTTCATATCACATTTACCACGATCTGCAATTACGCATACGATACAGACAGTATACATATATGGCCACTACCAGCTACGTATAGATTCCATTCAAGTTGTGTCTGTATCCTAAATCGTGGGCAAAAGGACAGCGTGTACGATAAAGTACTAGATAGGAATGAAGAATGACAGCTGAAGCAAGAATAAACTATCCAGCAGATGCCCAAGTATAGGAGTGGAATCGCAGCCGAAGACGTAGTGAGTGGAGACATAGGCAAGTAGTCATGAAAACACGATAGGCCATAGGCGTCGGGAATAGGAAAAGAATGGTAGATGCAGGTGAAGTAGATTCATAGGGTGGTCGTAGAGAAGCGCAGTCCGAGAGGGCTACAATATCAGCAGCGTATAATTCCGTTTGTCTGAATAAGATACACGATGGCTTGCAACAGGTTAGAAAACGAGACAGAGCGCACGCATATGTGCACTCGCTTGGAGCCTGCATTTCATCTCTGCCATCTCGGCCCAAGAATATTACAGCGACGACCAGGACGGGAACCAAATGTACCGCCCAACCAGAGGGGTTGCGCTGAGAAAGAACGAATTGGTGCCGCTACGCGGGAAAGGGACTTCCTCCCCAACAAAACGAGCGATGAACGCATGTGCAGAAGACTAAAAAGCGAGCTTCATCGCCAAAGAATAACGGGGGACAATGCCCACATACCTTTTTACCCCGGCGAGTGCTCGTCGCTCTCTCCCTCCCTTTTTCTAGCCCCCGAGCCCATGTCCTTCGTTCTTCGGTTTGCGTGTATCAGTACCCAGACAGTGGAAGATTGAATGGAGAAGAAAGTGGAGCTTGTATACTGCCGTCGTTGTAGACTTTGAGCAAACCAAAAAGGCACTCGTTCGCATCGTCTGAAGCATTGCCGATTGCGCTGAAAGCGATACAACTTTCTTCAAGCACAAAGAGCGGGAAGGGCTACCAGCCAGCGTGAACGAGTAGAAGTGGGCAGCGAGTCAACCGACTCACTAGATATACCGTCCTGTGAAAGCTCATCGCAGACGAGCGTGAAAGTGCTCCTGAACGACTTCTTGCTGACGATAACCAGGGGACCAGCTTGCAGCGATCTTCAATAGGAAACTTGAGTGCCAGGCATGCGATGAAATCGAGTGGATGGATAGGCCGCAACGCTGTAGCCGCTGGGTGCAAAAGCAGAGTGGATAAGGCCACCTAAAAGATCGACATGAGTAACTCTGGAGAAGGGGAAGAGAAGAGCGCATGCAAGGGCGCACCAGTTTCCACATAATGCTGACCCTGTTCAGTGCCAACGCTCCAATGGCTCCATGGATAGGTGGAAAGGGCAGTCAAAAGAAAGCTAACGCGGACAAGTTAGTGCGTTTTGTGGGCAGAGGCGGACGATATGCACCAGCGGCATCTCTGCCTGTTCATCTGTGCAGGCGCTTGAGGTCGCTCAGCCAGACGACTGGTAACAAGGCGAGAGATATGGAACGGGAAGGCCGTGTGAGATCGACATGACGGAAGTTGGAGAAGAAAAGGACATTGTTACGGTCACACGCTGCTACTAACATTCGCGACGACGACAACAAAGATTTTCTTTCACGGTCTCGACATGCTCTCAGGGTCGCACATATATGTACGCGGTGCGCGCATATTGTTGGCATCTATTTCGCGCGGTAACGACGTCCAAAAGTAGACTGTCCGCCATCCGCTCGCTGTCGTTAATACTCGTTATCTTTCCTCGTTGGGCGGACTCTCTGAGGGTTCAATCCGCTGGTGTCGGTACGAGCGACGACTAGAGCATCTTATATCTCAATCCCAAGGAGCTGACCGGGGTCTAGCTGTGCAAGAACGGAGGCAGAAAAGATCATTCACTCAATGTGAGTCCCGGCTCTCAGGCTCTTTCTTCCTCTGCATTTTGTGCTAATAATTACCAATACAGGTAGACAAACGCATTGTCTCGTCACAGTACTCGTTATAAGTACTAATGTCACGACTCATCGCATCTTTGTTCTCCTCTTCCATGTCCGCCCACAGTGCTACAACACTCCCGCCCGAGCTCTGGCTCGAGGTCATTCAATACCTTCCCCCTACCGCGCTCCGCGCGATTTTTGCCACCAACAGTGTCTTCTGTGCTCTCCTCCGTCCCTTTGTCTATGCCACCTTAAGCCTGGAGGTGTACGGCGTCGGTCCGTCCAACGAAAACGCAATTTACCACAACAAAGTTTCAGATCACCTACGTCGCCGTAGCCGGCTCGCATTCCACTTGAATCCTAGCATAGCTCCGCTCGTCAAAACATGCCACCTCAAGGCTTGGCAGTCATACGAAGAGCCGGAAGGCTACATGCTTGTCGAGCACCCACACTCCCCGTTCGAGCTGCGCAACGAATTCTTAGACAACATTCACTGCTTTACCAACATCAACAAGCTGTCCTTTCACGGCCTGGACTTCAGCTCTCGGCGGTTGGCACAGATATTCCGCGGGACTCCACAGCTGCGCGAACTCGAGCTGATATTCCCCTCGTGGGAACGCCAAACTCATCAGAACTTCTCGCCCAAGGACCTGGGGCCAGGTCCGCCATTGATCAAGTTTACACTCATCATGGAGGACGACGAGATCGGCAACGCTGACGAGGACATGGGCGGGTGGCAGTGGTTTCTCAACCCCGTCCACCTACAAGAGCTCCACCTCGAATGTCATGTCGATTTCCTCCTGCAGACCAGGCGTGTTTTCCCCCGAGTGCGGCGCGTCGCACTTGTGCCACAGAAGCGCAATCTTTCGCCGGGACACATGGCGCGCTTTCTCCCTCTATTCCCCGCAGCGACGGACCTGACACTGGCCACTTACGGTCTTGACGTCGACGCGCCCGGGCCGGCGCACCAACTGCACGACGCCGTTCACAGTGTCCCCTTCTTGACCGCGCTCGCCATTCCTTGTGCTTCCATGTCCATTTTTGCGGGCTTGCACCAGCTCACGACACTTGTGGTAAATTTCCAGCGGCTCAACGGTGGTCCCATGCTCGACTTCGACACCCTCTTGGGTCTCCTCACGTTTGGTGACGGCGCCTTCCGCAATGTAACATCATTCGCTCTCAAAGTCGAGCAGCTACACGTTAAGCTGCTTGAACCCGTCCCACTGCTCCGTCAGATATTCGCCACATTTCCCCAGCTCGCCCGATTGAAACTCGACATGGAGTTCGACTCATCCGTCGGCGAGACAGTGCCGGCTGGCGAGAATTCAGCTCTCAAACAGTTTAGCACGGTATGTCTGCCCCTCCGAGTTGCCGTCTTCCTCTGATATCTTCCGCAGCCAGTCAATTTCCTGCGTGCGCTTTCCAGGGAGACGATCTTACCACCGCGCTTGACAGCATTCGTCGTGTCGTGGCACCCGTCTATTGGCGGCAGTGACCGTGTCGCACCGCCTACCAGGCCGCACAAGCTCAGGTCGCTCTTCAAGCGCGTCCGCGTCCGCTATCCACACCTATCACAGTTCTGGTTCCACGCCATAGCCTTCCGCCTGACGCTGCGCCGCACTGCAACGGGGAGAGTGCTGCGGCAGACGTGCTCCGACGATTACCCCTTCTCTTGGTGGGATTATCCAAGTGAGTGAATGTATTTTTGGGGCAGAACGAATGTTAATAATGCCTCCCGTTCATTAGTGCCCAGGGATCCAGATGGGGCACCAGCGAAGGCGGAGGAGTTTTGGCAAGAGGTCGAATGATGTGTATTTATTTATGCACCCTTCGGTTTTGTACTTGAAAGACAGGAACGCGGGATACTATTATATCAAAATCCGAGTCATGGCCGACCGTGACAACTGTAAGTATCAGGAATAAGCATAGCACAATAATATCAAAAGTAATACCGCACCTGGAACTTGTGACGCCTTAGCAAACCGCTTTCCCGAAGACTCGGATGGCAAAGTCCCCAGGAACGCAAACGGTGCTGACTACTTATGGCGCTGCTGTCGATAATCGAGAAGGTCTCGAGTGGGAAGCGCCCGATAATGAACTCGAAGGCCAGACAAGGAAGCTGGACCTATTGTAGGCCTGTGTGCATAGCGGCAAATCCGAGTTGGTCTTCCAATACGAGCGACAGCGTTGACAAGGTCCCCATCGTCTTTCGCAGCCCGCAGAAGCCTGATACCAAGACCTCGAAGGCCTATTCCAACGACCAAAGTCGACCAAATTCATGCCACGACCCAGTTGCCACTTCTTCACTTTCTCTATGGAGAAGTCGAGCCGCGAACGAAATGGTGTCCAATGACGCCCTTGCTGAGATCGAACACGGATGACACTCTTTGTGGTCGTAGGGTAAGGGTATAAGTTGATGGAGGTATGGTCGATAGAGCCACAGGATAAGAGCTTGAGGAGTCGTAATCTCGTCTGTGCCGACGCGATAGTGGTCACGTGCCACACGACCGCGATGCTCGGCGAAAAACGGTCGATAGAAGGTGCCGCAGAGGACGCGGATAAAGCAAAGAGTCGCCGGAAAGCTAATGGAGAAGCGTGTACTTGTCGTATTGCCTGTAGTCAGCTCAGAGTCGGCGCCAATAACCTCCAGCAGGCGATCCAGAGAGCGGATGTGGCAAGGGCCCAAGTCGTGTCGTGTCCGAGATAACATGGGAGATGAAGGGATGTCGGTATAAGTGGCTTCGTCAAAAGAAGTATCGGTATGCTAGAACGGCATCTCTTTCAAAAGCGCTCATCGTTGTCGAGAAAGCGACATACCGAATCCGTTTAGCTAACATTATCGTCGTTTCGTTCGTCCCATGCTGGTTTTCGAGCTCGACGAGTTCCACCGAGAAGAGAGAAACGGACTAAGTAAAGCCAAGCGTTGTCGCAGTAGATTCAGATACCTGTGGCAGTACTTGGTCAGCGCGCTGGAGAAGAACAAAGAAAAACATACGCGGCAGCCTTCACACCCTTGTCCGTGTTTGAGGGTTTCAGTGTGTAGTATAGTACTCGTAAACTTGAGATTGATGAACGAGAACCGACAAGTTGGCCTGTTCTCCTCCAGGGCATGTCGTTTGCGAGCGTGGTACGGTATTTGGCCGCGGTGCTGAGATGCAGGATGACGATGACGAAGGACTAAAGAGCAGGAGCACATACCATGTATCGACAAACACCGCCTATCCTTTTCAAGGCTTCCATAGCAGCCCATCCACCCACACCACAGAGTACGGCGAGTCTACTGAGCCCAGATTATATCTTGTTGCCATTGCTAGGGATAGCCGAGATGTAGTATCCACTCACTCAATTTGGGTGGTGGTCGAGGAGTAACAAGTGCCGCGTCACAACGCAATGCTTGTCTTTCTTAACCACCACCACGATTCCTGCCACCCGCCCTTCACCATTTCCCTCGATTCCGAAGACCCACCACCATGGTCGAAGACCGCTCGAACCGCAGGGCCCCGCCTCGATTTGGTGCGTGGCGGCAAACCCGCCCACCACCCGCCTTGCTAACTCTTTTCCACAGATTACAAGAACGCGCATTCGATGACCGATGACGGACAACTCCGCTGGACGGGATACTGAGCGAAAATGGCGAGTGAGTACTGGTACTGGGCGAGGACTTGCTTGTACTGAAAACGCCCCCAGCTCGAATCGCGCGAGCGAAAGCTTCATTATCTCGTTGCCATTATCTCGGTGCCCTCCACGGCTGCCTCAAAGTTGTCTTGCTCCTCAGCGCCTGGCCACGGTGCGCTGGCCACTTTTTCCTCCTCCACTTTTCCTCACTTATGATTGTCAGTCGTGTACACGGTCCGCATCCGACGACACTAGATTCTGAGGGACGCGATCTACGTATGGCTTTCTTTGGTGTGTAACATGTGCTTTCAGTCTCTGCCGCGACTAACGAGGCATTGCTTCGCTTGCAGGAACCATTCCACTCTGACTCAAATCGACAACCGCTTACCAACATCTACTTTGCGCCTCTGAAAGCGACGAGTGCCTCGTTCTACAACGCGAAAGGCACTCCCTGTCAAGACTCAAGATCTTCATGTGGCGGACCTTATCCACCAACTTTACGACCATCTCCTCCTTCCTATCTATACTGTGGCTCCATCCCGACCTGGGTTACGGGACGACTCCCTCGAAAGACGCCATTTACCTGTCTCCTTTGGTCAAAGTCATCGAATCTCTCGTTCTCGCGCCGCCAGCGATATATTCCCTCTCGCTCGTGCGATTCGTGCCTCCTTACGAAGAATTATTGTCGTCATCCACGGATATTTGCTCCTCGCATTTCGCGCCCAAATCCACTGACCGAGCATCTTTTCGCGTGCAATACTTACTCCGGCACGGCCCAATACCGCGTTGCTCAAATGAATATGGCGGCTGTCTGGACCGTGGTAGTCCCTTTCTCTTGCGTATGTCTAGCGGGTTTTCGTGCCCCTCGCAGTCATTCAAATTTCACAGATGCAGATTGGCGATATTCTTACTGGAGATTCTCTTTCGCCATCTCTACAGTTAGTATCGCGCTTTATAATCACCTAGCAGTACTGACAAACACTTAGTGAAGCAATAATCGCCGACTTACCCTTTACCCAATCATTGCGCCCTTCTTCATCTCCCCATACAACCATCTCCGCAACTTCGGCATCTCTTCAGAGTCACCCTTCAACAGCGCTATCTTTTGATCACCCGTTCATACGCCGACCCCAGTCGAGGAAGGGAGATGACATTTCTGCGCAGACAACATTGCTGCAGTCGTTGACTGCGCCTGCGGGTGTCGTGCTCTTGTAGTGGGCGGTGCTTTTCTTTCCAATCCTTGACACTCGTTGGACATGTTCTCCCAACGCCGCATTCTCCTGCCTGACGGCATTTCTGCCTCCAGTCACTGTCCTCGCAAAGTTGTTGTCTCCTTTGCACAAAATCTCCCGTTTGGACTGTATACGTGTTGCGTTGCCGCACGAGCGGGAACAAACCAGGACATTTCGTGCTTCATACTCATTACCCACGAAGAATAATTCTCTAGCAATATCTTTCTGTTCTTGTTACTTGTTGTTACCTTATACCTTTCCATTTCTCTTCCTCCATTGCAGACCGTTCTTCATATGTACCTTCACAATCCGCCTAGTACATTACGATACAGACAGCATACTTATGTGGCCACTATTAGCTAGCCAGGCGTTCTGCTCTCTTCACGCTCGGCACCTCCACACGCATACCGAGCTCTGTGTGGTCATCTTCCAGATGCATGTGTGCACTTCACTTCGTTATGTCGCCAATGCTCGCTGGCTCGTACAAGATTTCGGCTGGTCCTCTGTATCCACGTTAGCCTAGCATCGACCCTTCACCCAAAATCCTACTAGTACCTTTTCTCGATACCCTGAAGACCATCAGCATGTTGAGCGTGCAATGATCACGATTACTCCCGCACCTCTTCTTTCCACGCAATCTGTGCCTTGAGCTCCGTCAAGCCGAGAGAGAAAACCACATCGAAATCGAGTTCATAGTATGAGCCGCGCGCCGCACCAGGCTTTGCTTGGAGAGTGTTGACAAGGACAGAGGTGTCCGCGTGGACAGTGCACATTGTGCTGTAATGTCCTTGTCCGGGATCGCGTCAATATTTCCCAGCGCAAAGTGCCGACTTACTCGGATCCAAATCCATCCAATGCGGGTCTTCGTTACTGCCAATGTACCGCAAGATGCGGACTTCCATCTCTTCGACGTCGCTCTTCGTCCTACTCCAGCGAACGAACGAGTCTCTGAACTCCGTCTTCGCCTCAACGCGAGTATTCTGGCGATGCGCGTCAAAACATTAGATCAAGGAAACAACTGACAACGCACCTTTCGGACAATCGCCGCAAACTGCTTGGGAATGCGAAGGTCTCCAGCGATGGACAAGTACACGCTCGATTCTCTCGTTTTGTGCTCCTTGTTGCTGGGATTGTAGTGGCTGGCGTACTCTACACCATATGTCTCCTTTGCGATCCTTGCAGAGACAAAGTGGTCGAGGTAGAATGAGACCGCTCCGTCCGATACGGCCTTGTTTCTGTTGACGAGGTTAGGATATTAATATGCATGCGGGTAGGTATTGAATAGACTCACACATGAGAGTCGGGACGAGAGACTTGCAAGCCAATCTGTCCCAGCCGTCGCTTGAGTTCAGCATAAAGCCACTCGTTCGCAGAGAATCCACCAGTCATGAAGACGTTCTGCAACATTTCAAGTCAACAATCGGTAGTCCGAGGGCAAGCACATACCTTAATTTGCCGGCTAGCATTTGAGCACTGTCTCTTCACGGCTTCAAAAATTTCGTCAATCGAGGGACGGAAGAATGTCGCGACGACATTTCTGTCTACGTGTCAACGGCCATAAAAATACTTGAATAAAACTCACCCGGGTAGTCGCAGACTCCCGCTTTCGACATTGACCGCGGGATCGTGGTCGCGCAGGCCGCCGAACCTGATGTAGGAGAACTCATTCGGGTTGCGGAAAGTGAGTTTTGCTCCTTCGTCGAAGCATTCTGCGATGAGTGGAATATCCAAGCGGAAGGCGGAGTTGCCCAAGAGGGCTGCAATGCTGTCAGCTCCGACGGGCCAAATCAATGAAGTTTTCACTTACTGTAAAGGTACTTCTCCGCGTCTCGTTTCACAAACACCGACCCATCCATCAGGCCTATAAGGTAAATTAGCGAAGGAGGGAGCAAGTCAGACCCGTGAACACACATTCAGATGGAGCGATCTCCTCGAAAGAGTCCAATCTACCCGCCGAAACGGCACGGTAGGCGCTGATATCGACAGTACCTCCGCCAGCATCGACGATGATCACACCCTCTCCCGCCTGTCAAGCACAAATCAGCGTTCGTAATTCGCAGCAAAACGAGCACTCACGTTGAGCGGTTCGCTGGCCAAACCATTGAGGATGCAGAAATTCAAGCTCGCCTCGCCCTCCGTGACGAAATGGACCCGCTGTCGGCCGGCGATGGTCCCCGGGATGAGGCCCGCGATGACCGCCGCCCGCCGCATCCGCTCCTGCTGGTCTCCCGCCCATCCATTCGGGTGCGTCAAGACGAACTCCGTCTCGCTCTCGAGGCTGATCCAGAGAGCATCACCGTTGGGGTATGTCTGCGTGATGAACGCCCGCGCACATTGCAGGAGGTAGCGAAGGAAGTCGGCGAAGACTACGACAGGAGTCTTGTCTGTTGGGAGCGGAGGGATGTCGCCGCCGGGTCGCGAGACTGTGATCGTCTCAGGACGCATCGCCAACTTGAACCTGCGGTACGAGGAGTCAGGTAAGGCGAATACACAATAGATTGTGGAACCCACCAGACAGCTTTCTCCCAGCCTTCTTGCTGCGCCAACCGACGCACATTTTCGTCAAGGGTTTGCGCACCAAGCGCTCGTGGCTGCCCGTCACGGTCGTACCAGACGACTGAAGGGACTTTGGAGTCTCCAGCAGCGCGACCCTGGGGAGGAAACCTAGCCTCTGATATTAGTTCGACAGATAAAGACTGTTAGTCGTATTACCTTGTAACAGGGAGGATCTTGGGAACCTCGTTCAGCGTGAGTAGGCTAGCGGGCAATTATTCAACCGGTCGTCAATAACGAGAGTGAAAGATAATTTACCAATATGATATACCGGAGAATGTCGTTCCAAGGTCGATCCCAAGGATGAGTTTGCGTTTAGTACCGGTGTAGGGAGTGCGGGGTGCCATGGGTGAAGAAAGACGATGCAAAGCAGAGAGGGAGGCCAGTGCGTGGCGATTATAATAGGACCGAAGGGCAGGATGGCAGTAAACAGCAAGGCAAGTCTAAAAACAACACAACTGTTGATAGACGCCGCCAACACGTTGTCGCCGCAAGTAGGGCTGGGGTTCAGGTTAAAGCGGGTTCAAGCGATCGATAACCACCCGTGTCTGCTCATGGACTATTTCCACTCTGCGTTCGGATCTGTCTCCGCTCTCATCATGCCCAGTCGCCATCCTTCAGGGAGCTCCTCTGCTGCTCGAACAGTCGAGCGAAAAGACAGCTCTGGCCATAGTAGCCTGGCCAAAACGAAGGGAGCCGAAGTTGCGCGCCCAGCGGAGAGGTCGGGAGGTGCCCTTGGGATGCAGACCGGTGACGGCTCTCGCCACGATGGCAGTCTTGGGCGGGGTAGCTATCGCGATGCCGAGCAGCCCAGCCCCGCCAGAATGGAGCATTCGAGGAGAGAAGAGCTCCATCATCTACAGAACGAAGTAATGCAGAAGCAAAGACGTATCGATGAGCTCGAACGCGAAAACCGGCATCTTCGGGACACTGTTTCTGATGTCGGCGTCCGGAATACTATGGTCGACCTTATCTCGATGGCAGATGTGCGCAGGAAGATGGAGGACTTAGAGGCGGAGATATATCAGCTGGCGGCAGGACTCGCAGATTCTCGCGTTCACCCGAGAAAGGCTGATTTCGCGGCTGGGAGGCGGGACACCGACTGGCTGAAGTATATTCGGGGCGTGCTTGGGGCAGAAATGGCCAATGCTGTGGCTGACCCTCATCAAGCGCCGTCCGATCTCGTCGTCCAAATGGCACTCCAAGCTGTCATCGCAAGGTGGTGCTTCAACAGAGTCAACTCGTGGAGCTTCTTCAGCAGTTCGGTGGAGCATAATAAGCTCTTAACCGACTTGTATGGGTTGGCGATTCAGGATGTCGGTATGTTCTCAGAAAATGTAGTTCTTCTCATTGACATTGACGAGTTAACGCTAGAGGATATACGTCACATTGCAAGATGGAAAACAATTACGCACCAGGCCCTGGAAGCCTACGATAAGGCACAGCCCGAGAGACAGCTTGGATTGCGCGACTTTATCGCGAATGTGTTGGCTCTGGTCGATCCCCGTTTCACGGTCACCGTGATCGACACACTCGCAAGTGCCAGAGTGGCCGCTGTCTGCACTCTGGCGTATAATTTGCATCTAATGATTACCGCTCAGATATTTTCGGAAGCACTCGCGATTACTTACCAGCAACCCGGAAGCGCATTTGACCCGGACACAATGGAGAATATGTGGGGCGGTAGGACGGCGACAAGGGACGTGGTCGTTTGTACGACCAACATAGGGCTGACGAAGAGGGACTGGAAAGGAGAGACGCCGCTAACGGTTGTGGTGAAGCCGAAGGTTCTTGTGCAAGAAGATTTGAAGGAGATTCGTCGTCGTAATAACTAGCGCGTCGCGTTGTTATCGATTCAGAAAAGCTGAGAATGGAATGTGAAATTCATTAGGATAAACTGCACTGGTCGTCCTTCTCCTTGTTCCGGCTTGGGTGGGTCTTGCTTACATTTAGGGTTTGTGACGAGTGGCGTGGAGTCATTCCATTGCTCGGCAGTCATTTCCCGAAGGCTGTCTCCCTTTTTCCTTCCCCCATCTCTCGTCCTCCTATCGCTTTTCCTCCCCGCTATCGTCTTCCCATCCACTTCATCGCCCTCGTCTCTTACATCACCAGCTCGAGGAACACCTCATCCCTCCCCTCGCAGTCGCTCCTCGAAAGGCAGTCCCTGTGAAGGACGCATTGCTTGACGAGAAAAGAGGAAACGGCGCGGAAGAGCAGTCAGCAGTGACGGCGATCGAGAACGACAGGAGTGCTTACGCGATCCCGCCCTCTTCCTTTCCGACCACGACCACGACCTCATATCCCGCCTCATTCCGATGGCCGACTACGCTTACGCGTTCAAGGCACCCGCTCCCCCCTCACTCCTCTTCCTTCTACCAACAACCACCGAGCCAAACGACCCCTCGCTCGTTCGTCAGCCCCGCCCAGCCCCAATATGGTCACACATCCGCGACCTCCCAGCCGTTCGCTCCTCCCGCTTCTCAGCCACAACAGCCCCAGCAACAACCCGCGTCGCTGCTATGGACATCGCTGGAGCCGTGGATGGACCACGAATACGCTCGCCAAGTTTGCTCCCTCCTTGGCTGGGATGCGCGGGTGCAAGTGCCGCCTGCTGACGGGGGAAGTGGGACGACAGCAAACAACGCGGGGTATGCTGTCTTGACGTTTTCGAGTGTGGAGGCTGCTCAGGCAGCATTGGCAAAGGTATGCCCTCGTCATCCTCCATCTTGACCACCCCTTTCCCCTCTTTTTCTTCGCCTTTCTCGTTTCCAACTCTATCTTCGCGGCCTGTATTGTTGCCCCTCGCGAGAGAACGGCTTTTTTACTGTCTTAACTTGGTTTTTGACACGCTTCTGGCCACTTTCCCTTACTTTCGTCAATTACTAACGATATTCTCAGATTAATGCTACGTCTGGCGCTGGCTCGATAATGACGATGCCTAATTCGTCGCGGACCTTCGAAATGCGCTGGGCACCGAGTGGCTTGACTACTCTCCCATCCAGCTCATCTACGGCCTCCTCGCTATCCTCGCCGCCATCCATCAACCAATTCTCTTCTACTACCGCTTCCCTCCCTCCAATATCATCGACATCGTACCCCAATATCGTCTCGCCAACCTCGCCGCTATCTCCTGTCAGCGGCGAGGGTCCAAATCAGTACGGATACAATGGCTATTCCTCTCAAGTGTCTGCGGGAGCTGCTTACTCGACGGCTGCGGCGGCGTATCCCAAAGAATACAGCATTTTCGTTGGCGACCTCGCTCCGGAGACAAGTAATAGCGACCTCGTTGCCGTCTTTCGCAATCCGGTCCTTGGGCTGCGAAACGATCGTGCGCCAAAGTTCATTCGTCCGTTTACAAGCTGCAAGAGCGCGAAGATCATGCTGGACCCTGTCACTGGTGTCAGTCGGGGCTACGGCTTTGTCAGGTATGTTTCTTACTCGCGTCCGAGACCCTGTTTTCAATCTCTCATATCGTTAACAGATTTATCGATGAGGCAGACCAGCAACGCGCGCTTATCGAGATGCACGGGCTTTATTGCCTGTCACGGCCCATGCGTATCTCACCCGCAACGGCGAAATTCAAGCCAGCGGGAATGCCGGAATCGTCCAGTCTTGCAAGTATTGCAAGCGTCTCTGCAACCAACGCGGAGACGGTTGGTGTCTCAGCCAGTGTCTCTGCCCCGATCGCAGGCTACCAAATTCCACCCGCACCTTCCGCCCTCCCCACTCCGCCTCCTTCAAGTCATGACGCGGTCTCTGCGGAATGGAAACACCACGCTCACGCCCGCGCTATCCTTGGCAACATGATTGGTCCGAACGGGGAGCAATTGACGAGCACAGACCCTTACAATACGACGGTGTTTGTGGGAGGGTTAAGCCCGCTGGTGGGAGAGGACACGTTGCGGACATTTTTCGTGCCGTTTGGGGAGATTCACTACGTGAGTGTTCTTTCCGACTTGTTTTTTGTGATTTCCTTTTACAAATACTTCTTCCCTCCTACTTCGCATCATGTCCCCTTCTGTCGCCTCTTATATTATATTGTTTCGATATATCCTCCTTTACGCTACTCTTATCAACGACTTTCATGACTGCATTCGCGCTTTCGCATCCTACTTGCCGTCACCTTTCGATCTATCTTCCTTCACCCGTTGCGTTTCGCCGCATTCGTCTTCAAATAACTACAATGTCCCCTCCTTTCAACACCGTTTCTGCCGTTCTACCAAACGGGCTCCATGCTGACGACTTGCTTCAGGTCAAGGTCCCAGTGGGGAAACACTGCGGCTTCGTCCAGTTCGTTCGCAAAGCTGATGCGGAACAAGCTATCGAGAAGATGCAAGGTTTCCCTGTTGGAGGAAGTCGCATTCGTTTGAGCTGGGGCCGGAGTCAATGTACGTGCTCGTTCTTTTCTCGTTTGGGACACAGTTAACGACTTGAGTAGACAAGGCAGCCCAAGCTGCCGCTCAAGCTGCCCAAGCTGCTGCAATGCAAGCTTCGACAGCTCCCCCTCAGCCTCCCGTTTCCCAAGCAGAGCCACCTGCACCATCTCCAGCTGGATTTACGCCTCAAATGTTGGCGGAAATGACGCCTGAGCAGATCGTAATGCTACTTCAGAAGTTTGGGCCTCAGGCGTTATTTGGCAATACTTCCGCAACCTCGGCAACCTCCGCACCCCCACCTGCCGCTCCCGCATCGCAGTCACAACCGCAAATTTCGCTCAATCCTTATGTGTCAACTACCATGACCAATCCTTACCCATCTCCCTCCACGACCACGACCTCAGACCCGTTCCGCACATACACCGCTTCCCCAAACCACAGCGTAAACGTAACAACGAACACGAGTCAGACTCCGTATACTGAGGACTCGATGAAGATACGACGAGAAGATGGCCCGTTTTCGTATAGCCAACGAACTGCGTATGAAGTTACTCCACCGCCTGCATCATCCTCGTTCTCGCCTTTCTCCCCCGACCCCAGCCAATCCACGCAACAACACCAATCCTCTAACGGGTTGTATGCGCCCCTGCCGGATATGTTGGCAACGCGGAGAGACTCGTATTCTTCCGGACTCAAGTCGTATAGCGGGTATTATCCCTCGGTCGGCGGTGGAGGAAGCAGTCCGACCAGAGGTGGTCTTGGATCGGGGTCCCCTCCTACCTTCCAGGTCAATCGATACCAAGACCAAATGGTTGCTTCTCGCCAGCCCATCTCCCGACCTGCTTCTGGTTCCGCTGCTGTCCGCAACAACGTTGACGACATGTACATGCACGAGCTGAACGGCACACTCGCCAATCTCGATCTGGGTCGTGGCTGGCAACTCAAAAGCCCAATCAACGACACTCGCAGCAACGCAAGTGCGGACAGCGCCAGCAGTGGTGCTAGTGTGCAATTTCGGATGACGCCTTCCCCGCCTTGATTTTACTCGTTCAGTTACATCTCCCTTTCGCTCCATCCACGAAACCCCACGAAGCCAAAACAACGATATCGCAAAGCACAGCTTGTTTATATGGAATCCTTTCTCGTCGCATCTTTCCCGCTCGCTATCCCCCAATCGAACTTAGCTACTTTCATTCCTCTTTCGTCTACTACTTTCACCTCTCCTCCCCCCACGTTATCTCTTCCGCCATTCACCCAGCTACGTTGTTTGTTCTCCTCGCTACACAAGTCCTCGTCCTATCTGCACAGTTACAGTCTATCCACAGCCTCGTTACCATGTTTCGTCAATCCAGCTACTACGTTCTATATACTTCCTTTACAAGTCCTACCTACTATCCTGTGTCCCGTTGTCGTCTACGTATACGTGTATATCGCTCCAAGGTCTCTACTCTCTCTCCATGTACCCCGACTCCCTCCTCCATTAGCATGGTTTCTTCAATATCATTTCGGTCGCCTTGGTTGGAATTCAAGCCTTATCTTGTCCCTGTAATGTGATTACGTCAGCTATCCTTTTCTGTCCTTTCCACTCACCGTCGCAAACGTGTTCGCTCTTGTTGGGACACGTCGAATGCTTTTCTACCCGCCGCTGTCATGTTCTTTTGCATAGCATGGGAATCTCACCGACCTATCTTGCTGGAGGCGCAAAACACGTTGAAACGGGAAGAACAGCTAAAACGGGAGACAGGAAAGCCGTGAGTTCCAGAAGAAGAGCCTAAGGCAAAAAAAACTCTCAAGCCCTTCAGCTTTCAAAGCTTTCGAGACCTATACTCTGAATCTTTCGGCATATGGACACGAATGTTGTGACTAACCGCTACCTCCAAGGCTCCAACTTGAATTACTACGCTAGCATGCCACACTTGTCATGCGGCATTCCAAGGTCCGGGCACGGGAGTACTAGAAGCCTGACAAGACGGAGAGGTACTCGGGGAACAGCTTGAAGAGCCAAGACAGAACTAACTTGGATGGGCGTCTATCGATTGCCTTCACCTGCTTCGCGTTCAAGTTTCCCCCAGCCCTGCTCGCGGCGACAACGTGTCGAGGCTCTATCGTTTGTTTTTAACGCTGCTTGCTATTGGGCGCCATGCTGCCACTCAGCCCCATTATAATCGCCACGCCTCAATCGTCCTGTCTATCACTTTCCCTGCTCCTCGACTCCATGGCTCCCCGCCCTCGCTACACCGGCACGCAACGCAAGCTCATCCTTGGAATCGACCTCGGCACGACTTATTCTGGCATTTCATACTGGTAAACGACTCTGTAATCTCGCTGTTGAAGATGCTGACCGTCTTTCCAGCCTTCTTGAGCCGAATCATGTTCCCAAGATCCTCCCTGTGACGAGGTAATATGACCAAACCGTCTTCATTTATCTGTGCTGATCTCAAATGGGCAGATTCCCTCCGCAGGGCCGCGCTGCTGGGGACTCCAAAGTGCCCTCAGTCGTTTGGTACGACCGAGAAGGAAAGCCAAGAGCGCTTGGTGCGCAAACTCTTGACGAGAACGTCCGGCGGCTGGCGCAGCAAGAAGGATGGGAGAAAGCCGTTTGGTGGGTTTCCAAAATCGGGTCGCGCAAGATATTTCTCACCCGTTCACCGACAGGTTCAAGCTTGCTATGCGTCCCGAATCGATCACTGTCTCGCGCCCGGGCGGCGACGTTCCCCCGCTTCCCACAGACAAGACTCCGCTGGTCGTCTTCGCGGACTTCCTCCGGTACCTCCATGGATGTGCGCGCGCCTTTATCAGCCAGACATATCCAAACGGCGAGACTCTTTGGGCCAGCCTCGAGGGCGAGACTGACTTTGTCCTGACGCACCCGAATGGCTGGGTTGGCGACCAGCAGGAGCGGATGCGTCGGGCCGCCGTTATGGCCGAGCTTATTCCTGATACTCTGGCCGGGCGGCAGCGTGTCCATTTCGTGACCGAGGGCGAGGCGAGCTTGAACTTCTGCATACTGAATGGTTTGGCGCGCGAACCGCTGAATGTAAATCTAGATTCTGATTTATTCAATCCTGCTGACCTCTTGCGACAGGCTGGGGAAGGTGTTATCATTGTCGATGCTGGGGGAGGAACTGTGGACATCAGCGCTTACCGTGCGGTAGTTCCAGGACGATTGGACTCCTTCGAAGAGATTTCTCCGTCTGAATGTGCGTCAATGTCTTGTCCTAAGTACTCATTTCTAAATTCTCTGCAGGTTTGATGGATGGATCAGTCTTCGTAAAACGAGACGCAGAAAAGTACCTCTTCAGTGAGGAACAATCTTTACTCATTTCTCGTCACTCATATCTCTTTGCTAGCGATCTTGGGCAACTCTGTCTTCCGCACAGACATACCACTTATCGCTGAAGCCTTTGATGAAGGCGCAAAGCTCACGTTCCGAGATCCAAGCGAATTCTCCTATGTCAAGTTTGGTGGCTTGCGCGACCATGATCCCGATGTGAACATCGAAAACGGCAGCCTGCGATTGCCGGGGTATGTTTTGTTGCAGTATATCATGACAGTGCTAATATGGTCCACTCACAGAGATGTCGTCGCCACCTTCTTCCAGCCCTCGATCGACGAGATCTTCGAGGCCGTCAAAAGACAGTGCTCTAATTCTAGCAAGCCAATCAAGGTATGCGGTTATTATTCGCCAATGTCTTGCTGATATTGACTTTCTGGTAGAGCGTTTTTATGACTGGCGGCTTTTCTGCGAACGAATATCTATACTCAGAGCTACGGGCACGGCTAGCAGAAATCGACCTCCATGTTTCACGTCCCGATTCCCATGTGTGAGTCCTATTGGCCCACCCAGTTCGGTTCCTTTCTAACGGGGAAGTATAGCAACAAGGCGGTATCTGACGGAGCCGTCTCGTTCTTCCTCGACCACTTCGTGTCTGCAAGAATTGCCAAAGAGACATACGGTGTCGAGTACAACAGCCGCTACGACCTCGACAACGAGGAGCACAAGTCGCGGGAATCGACGGTGTTCTGGTCAATTGCAGGCGATCTGCGCATTGGGAAGCAATTCGCCGCCATTGTCCGCAAGGTCAGTCGGCTCAATACCTTGCTCTTCAAGTACTGCTCTGACTTTCCTGTCATGTATCAGAATACTCGAGTGGAAGCCGAGACTGAGTTCCGCGACTCGTTTGTCCGCTGGAGCAAGTCCAAGAGCGACGTCGAGGAGATGGACGTGCGCATTCTGCGCTACCATGGCAGCAACGACGACCCACACTGGATGGACACCGACCCCAGTAAGCACTTCCTTTGCCCGAGCTTGCTGCACATTGACCCCGCACCACCTGCAAGCCCATTACAGCAGCATGTGCATTGTGCGCGCCGACACCTCCGTGCTGGTGAACTCTTTGGTCGCAAAGCCCGCGCTCAGCGGGGCGTACTATGAGCTGGGTTTTGACGTGGTGTTGTCTCTCGGCCTGACGGAGCTCAAGGCGCAGATTGCGTGGAAAGAAGAGGTACGTGAATAGGCGTTGCATGAGCACGACTTGAAGCTGATGATTTGCAGGGTATTGAACAAAGGTACAGAAGTATCTTCTTGCCGTATAATTTTCATGGCTGAGGCTGGTGCAGAGGGCCAGCTGAAATTTTGTACGAGCCAGCGGCGATTTCCGCCGCAAGCAAGTAGGACATCGTGACATAGAGTAGTGGTGGCTGGAATTGTGGCGGGTAACGCGCGTGAGTGGAGGCTGAGCGAGTATCAAGTAGCAATGTACCAACGGATCAGACAGCGGAGGCAATGTAGCAAGGATATACCAAAATGTGGCCAAACAGTGAACAAGCGACGGGGAGAGGAGTAGAGAAAAAAAAGGTCGGTGTCAATAGCTATGTAGGTAGGAAGGATAAGACGAAATGGGGAATGCATAAAAAACCAGTGAAGTATCGAAATCCTCAGGAGAATGCTAGGAAAGTTGAAGGGACTTGGATAAGTACTCGTATGTGTTAACCAAATGTTAAGCTCGGTCCTGCAGCCACGAATTCTGCGGCCAAGAAGGCTCCAAATGCACAGCATAACAGCAAACAGGGCCCAGGTTTGCAGGGGATGGAAGGGTGGAACGCAGTCGACGAGTGTCTTGTTGTCCAAGATTCACGAAGAAAGTAAATTTCCCGTGACGATCAAGTGGCTCCACATCCGCAAATGCGGTTACCGGGAATTCGTGTTGTTGGCGCATCGATGAAGGTCCTTCCCACGACGACTTGATAATGGCCAACGCGACTGCGAGAGCATTGTCGCAGAAAGCAGCCTCCGAAACGGGTACAATGCTGGAAATAGTCGAAATACGGTACGACCAAAAAAGACAATCGCGCGAGAGTAGGAATTGCATCGAAGATGAGATGTTGCATTTGAAGGCGTTGAGCGCGAGTTGTTGCTCGTCATTCGTGTGCAGCGCTGGGATCTGGGCGTGTTGGCAGTAGAGGTACATATATGCGGGGCAGGAGTCGCGATTTGACCTATAACAATGACCATTGACCATTCGCGCGCCAAAGAATCTTGTATCACGGAGCCTGCCACTGGGAACGGTATTTCCAATACGAGATATAGCGGAGGAAGCGATGGTGGAACCCGTCGTCTATTGACCATGCGAATACCACAAGGGAGGTCGCAAGCGAAGGGTGTCTTTGAGTTGGATTGGTGGGCGGAGGGGAGGAAATGCTGGGCAAATGGCGAGGGTAGGGTCCTTGCCAGGAAGGTATATCCCATAGCGCGCAAGTGGCGGACAGATGCAAATTACTAGTGAAGCTTGACGAGCGTGATGTCAAAAAGGTGTTTTTCCTGGTAGTGCCGTTCCAAGGCATTGACTTGTATCGTCAGCGTGTGTGGGATTTGAGGGATAAGAACACACACGAAAGAAACCCAACGCAAGAGCAATCCTCGTCGTTGTACTAAACGAGGACTTCAGGAAGGCTGCCCCAATGACTTTCCTTAGCGAAAGTTATGACCCGACTATGAAACTCACCACTAGTTCCACGCTGTTGCTTCCCCTTCAGCCAACCTCCTTGGTCCCCGTATCCTTGCTTTCCTTCAAGACCATGGAGCTGTCCCTTCATCCCCTCGTACTGCCTGGTGGTGGTTTTGACATCGAGTCCGAGACTGCGGCTATGAAGGTGAAGTAAGTTAGAGGTACAAGCTGACTTGAAGGCTACAAACCGTGTCGAGTCATTGCTGTCCGAGTAGCTTCACCCTTGAGCGTTGCGTCGGATGATAATGATCAGAGTGGTCAAGAGAAGAACTCGCAATTGTGACTTCGACCAGGCAGAACGTCACTGATCCTGTGCGGATGCCCATGGCAATTTACCCATGGGCATTTTGACCTGTAGGTTACAATAACCTGCAGGAAACAAGAACCTACAGGGTCTTTTAACCTGCAGGTTCTTGTTTCCTGCAGGTCATGTCAACCTGTAGCTTATATGAACCTGTACTAGTAGTATCTATCAAAATTATAAAACCTGAAAAATGCAATTAAACTGAACCCTGCAAGATAGCTTATGGACCTGCAGGCTACTGCAGCCTGTAGGTTCATAAAGCCTGCAGGTTCAAATAATCTACAGGCTGCAGTAACCTGCGGGTCACATCAACCTGCAGGTTACTATAGCCTGTAGGTTATAAGAACCTGTAGGTTACTATAGCCTGTGATTGGGCCCTGGCAATGTTTGTGAGCGGCCGTACAGTCAGCGCCAGAAATTGAGTGCATATTGATGATCTATATTCTAATACGCACAAATCTACAGGTCAATAATGGTATACTGGCTACACAAGCTCTCACTGCTCAGCCCGCCGGCGCCTCCGCCGACCACAACCATCTTGCAGCGCGTGTTCCACCAGACCGAGTCTACCCACGCCCATTCGCCGGCCTTAAGGAGCACGACGGTCGACCTAGGCACCAGGCCGAGTCTACCCCACTTCCGGCCCAAGGCCAGCCGTTTGCCCCCCATCGACAGCGCGCCCGGATGTCCGCGCGAGCATGCTGGCCTATTGCGCTCGGCTTCAGCTGATGTGGATGCAGGCGGACACAACTCACCGGCCACCCCGCCCCTCGCTATTTTCGCCATCGTTCAGTGCGGTCCATCGGGTTGGTGAGCTCGGTGTCGGAAGGAGATGTCTGGTTGTGTGTCGGGGAAAACGACCAGAGGGAGATGGTGGGGGTTGCGGAAAGAGAAGCGGTGGGGCGTCGTCACGTTGATGATGGCCTGCGTGATCTTACCTACAGGTTCATGTATCCTACAGGTTCCTGTCTCCTACAGGTTACAGGAACCTACAGGTTACAGGAACCTACAGGTTACAGGAACCTACAGGTTACAGAAACCTGCAGGTTACGGAAACCTGCAGGTTACAATGCCCATGGGCATGCCCATGGGTACGTGCACAGGATCAGAGTCGGTCTCCGACCAGGACCCTTGATTATGCCCTATGAGGTCGGATTCTGAAATCGGCTTTGGCAAAAATCTGTCCGGATTTTTTGGACACTAGATGAAAGAAAATTTGTCCGGATTCAGAACAAACCTGTACCAACTGGGCGAAATTTGTCCGGATTTGGTTCCAACCTCTGAAAAAGTACCGAAAGGAGAAGAAAAGGAGTAATATAACTTAGAACAACAGCAAAGCCTGTATTTTTCGACCATATCCAATCCATTCCTGTGGATTCCATTCCCTATTTGGAGCACTGAAATCGAAAGGCTCTTCCGAGTCGGTCCTTTGTTGGGTTGACAATGGACATGCTGGCTGGTTTGGTGTTGGTTTCGGAATAGTGAGCTCAAGACAAAATAATCGTACTATTCAGCACCAGCAACATTGCCTGATCTACCCTAGTACATAATTATTTTACGACAACACTGCGCGTCATAGCTGCGAGTGCGAGCAGCCGCAACCGAAATTTTTGTCCGGATTCATGATCCGACCTGTTTTGTGTCAAGACGTCTTGTCCGGATTTTGGTTTCGACCTTTTTCGCTTGGGCCAGTTTTTTGTCCGGATTCGGGTCAAACCTTGGTCAGAAATCTGTCCGGATTCCGGGATCTGACCTCGTAGGGCATAATCAAGGGTCCTCTTCGACCTCTTACACTGTTACTCGACAACTTCCACGACAATTCTTTGCACGCGTCCAGCGTTCAACGCGCTGGTTATTCTTATTGCCACCGGTGTCTGCGCAAACGCTCTAGCTTTCCATGTCTACCAGCAACTCCTCTCGAATTGCCAGAAGCACATCCTACCTGTCTTCCCTCCGCCAACTATCTCGAAACAATTTGCCACCTCCACCCGAGCTTGGCCACGACCTCGATGGATTCTCTCTCGAACTAAGTGCCTGCGACGACGAAATAACACGCCTCAAAGATCAACTCGCGGACGCTAAACTCCTCCACAAACGATTGAAGGAAATCCAGGACGCCGCAAAGAGTCTGCGGTCTCCCATTCGTCGATTACCCACCGAAATCCTCGTCATAATCTTCAACCACGTCTGGACCGCCTTTGCGGACTCGGGTTCTGACCCGTCATCCAACGGTCCAGGGAGTCATAGTCGGTTCCCAAATCGTTCATTCGATTTACTGCGGCTTGCATTTGCTCCGCTTCTCGTCCTCTCGGAAGTCTGTAAAGTTTGGAATGTCGTCGTCATGGGCACTCCTGAGCTATGGACAAAGCTATACGTCAGCAGCGATGCATGGAATGAATATAGCAACGAACCCGATGGCCTGGAGAACGCCACGCGGCTGTTAGAATTTGCGCTGATGCGTTCCCGCAATTTGCTACTTTGCGTTTTCCTCGAGATTTCTCACTGGGATGCGGAGCAGGACGGTGTGAAGAGTGGTGTCCTCACTATACTCGGTGCTACCTGTGGCCGTTGGAAAACCGCAACCCTCCGCTGCCCTGTTCGCGAGATTTTGGATACCGGGCTTGAAGGCAACATGCAATGTCTAGAAGAGCTCTATATTCGGCATCAATTTGATAACAGGGGGCTCCCGAGCAAAGCTTTAGCTTCCTTTCGGAATGCTCCTCGGTTGCGGGTGGTGACATGCAACGGCGGCGGCATGTCGCTGGCTGAACTACCACTCGAGCGATTGGAAAGGCTCGCTTTCGCGTATGTTTCCCCAAAGCATATCACGCTGGCTCTACAGTGTCTCTCGCGCGTCTTCAGCTCTGTTCACTTTGACATGAGCGCGTCTGCATACATGCCCAGATCCCAGAGGCCTGTTACGTCGGACCGCCATTTCTCGTGCGATATCCGAGTCAAAATGTTCTCTGTTGGTTTCAACAACGAGGACATAGATAACCTCAAGGACATGGAATTCTATCAGACGCTTATTACCACATTACTTTCCCTCGTAACATTCCCGTCGCTCGAGACCTTCCGCGTGATGTTCTCCCACTACCCAGCACAACCGCTGCCATGGTCCGGCGTGGCATTCCTCGAGCTGGCTCAGCGATCCCATTTCGACATGCATCTCCAAACGCTCGACGTTGAAGAAGCACTTCTGACCAGCGCAGAGCTGTTATCTGCACTAACGGTACTTCACAACCTTCGCACTCTGATCTTCTCCGACTTTATCGCCACTGCGGAAAGATCATCCTCAAAGAATGCCACGGTTCTTACCAATGATCTCCTCGGCAGTCTGACACACACCGTCTCCCAAGAGGCCTCCGGCAGTGCAGCGCGCCTCACCCACTCACTCGTCCCCCACCTGCACACGTTCCGCTGCATCAGTCAGCTCTCATTCGACCACAAAAAATTCTTCCAGTTCGTTAAATCGCGGAGCAGCTCAGCGGAGGCGAAACCCTTCAGAGTACAGCTTTCGTGGTTTCCTCGCGCAGACGGCTCGCAGCCGCGGCTCGAGCGCAAGGTCGAATCTGAGCTGCGCCAGCTGCATCGCCAGCACAAAATCACTTTCTTCGTCGAGCAAAACACGAGGAGACCAAGCGCCTGATAATAAACGAGTACTTGCATAGCAAGTAAATCATTATTCTCGGTACCCTTCCTGTATTAGTTCAGACACTGCTAATTGACCATATGCGTTGGGTCCGTACAAAACCAAATACTTAGTGGCGAGGGAGTCTCCCTCAGAAGCTTTGCGGGCATTCCTCGACGCAACGAGTATCTACCGCGTCATCCAGAACAACGAGGAAATATGGGCAAGCGAAAACGCGACCCTTGACAAGCGGGATATATGAGGCGGGAAATAGCGATTTGTGATGACCTCCTCTTGTCCTGTGTCTGGAAATCAAGCCCTATCACCAGCGCGTTCCGCAAATACGCATTGGTTGAAGCCCGCAACAGACGTGCATACGGAACTGCTGGACGCAATATGTTCCACCAACTTGAAGCGCTATGTCTCGAGGGACTCGGCCCACATCGCTGAGAAGCAGCAAGCGATGGTGTCTCAGGCTCCCATTGAGCAAGAACCGTCCGTCCATTGATCATGCAAATACTAAAACTGGGAGATTACAGTCGAAGGGTATTTTTGGGGCTGAAATCGGGGGAAGGATTGGTAAATGGTGAGGGTAGGGTCCCGTACAATGAGATGTAACCGAGTAGGTGGCGAACAAATTTAAAAATTGCTGGTACTGAAGCGTGGTCTTCACTAGCGTGATTTCGTGAGCGGGGACAAATAACACGGGGTCGTCAGGGAAATTTGGCCCTGATTGCGAGGAAGACATATGGAGGAAGAGCGAAATAATTGCTGTATCGATTCGTACAATGGGAGAAGCTGAGAACCAGAGAGTGGCGACGACATTATAACAAATCCGGAGGATGGAAGGTGTTTTCATGGTCGCTGCCGTTCTAGGGTGTCGTCAGAATGTGTGGAATTTGAAGCATATAAACACACACGAGATAAGCCCCACTCACGGACAATCATGGTCTTCGGGAAGTATGAGAGTGCTGCGTAATGGCTTTCCTTAGCAAAAGGCATGCAGAACCGACCATAAAACTCACCACTCGGTCCATGCTGTTGCCTCCTCCGAAGGTCGGCAACAATCAGCCTGCTTGGTCCCTCTATCCTTGCCTGCTCTCAAGCCCATCAAGCTATCCCCTCTGCCCTCGGATTGTGTGGTAGTGGTCGGAAACGGTGGGGTTCAAACTACTTGAGCGAGACGGACTGCATTTGGCGGAGAGCAAGTAAGTTATAACTTCATGCATGCATTAACTTGGACAACGACGCACCGGATCTACCCATTGTAATCTGAGCGACTCCACAATCTGGAGCGACGTTGAGAGGATGGGACCAAAGGTGATCATCTAGATCTAGTGGGTGTGTGTGAAGAGAAGAAGAGAGAAGAGAGTTACTGTGACTCCGCTTATACGCTTGGCCGCCGTTTGCACTGACCCACTTACACCGTGTTAGGCGCGTCTCCTGCCCTTCGTTCAAAGCTTGTCCTGACGACTCCCTTTCTAGTTCTTGGTATGTCTGCCCGCATATCCTCTCGATATGCCGGGAACCAAGACTACCTATTCTCCCTTCGCCAACTCTCTCGACACAATCTGCCGCCTCCATCAGGGCTTGAACACGAACTAGACAGCATGTCCCTCGAATTGACCGCCTGCGACGACGAAATAACGCGCCTTCAAGCACAACTCACGGAGCTTGAAGCTCTCCATCGGCAGCTGACGGCACTCCGAGATACAGCAAAAAGTCTGCAATCTCCCGTCCGGCGCTTGCCCACCGAACTCCTCGTCATCATATTCGGCCACGTCTGGACCGAATTTACCAACAATGGCCCCACGGACCCGATCTCTCCGCGCTTGTTCGACCTGCTGCTGCTTGCGTTTGCCCCGCTGCTCACCATCTCGCAAGTCTGTTTCGCTTGGAACACGATCGTTATGAACACTCCTGGACTGTGGACCGAGTTACACGTCACCTGCTCCCCGTGGGTCAAAAACCCGGAGGCACAAATTTCAGCAACACAACTGCTGAAAAATGGTCTTGCGCGGTCCCAAAGCCTGCCTCTTTGCGTTCATATTCAGCGTCAAAATTGGGGAACATGGGAGCACTACCGGAAATGTGGGGCACTCTCCATGCTGTGCGCTACCAGTAATCGCTGGAAGACAGCCGTTCTTGATTGCCCCGTCAACGACATTTTGGATAGTGGGGTTCGCGGACATATACAGTGTTTGGAAATTCTCGAGCTTCACGAGGATCCCGACGCCGAAGACGAAACGTGGGGAGGCAAGACATTGGCTTCTTTTCAAGATGCGTCAAGGTTGCGGAGAGTAGTGATTTCCGAAGAGGTGGCTGTATCCTTGCATGAGCTCCCTCTCGAACAATTGGAGGAGCTCGTTTACGAGTATGACTTTTATGAGGACTTGGTTCTTCCGCTTAAATCTCTCACGAGACTTTCCGGCTCGGTGCATTTCGACTTCGGCGCGCTCCGGTCCTTCAGACGCCCGTCTCTCCTCCCGAGTCCGGATCTTCATCTTTCATCCAACGTCAAGACCTTCTCCGTCGGTTCAAACAACGAGGCCAAGGAGCACCTCGGGAGTCCAGCACACTATAGTGCGATTATTGCTGAGCTGTTCTCCTCTGTAACGCTGCCGGCACTCACCACGTTGCGTGTGGTGTTCTCTCACTACCCCACCCATGCATTTCCCTGGCCCGGGACAGCATTCCTGGAACTTGCAAAGCGATCGCATTTCGACGCCCATCTTCAAACGCTCAACATTCGAGAAGTCCTTATCACCAGCGCAGAGCTGCTATCCGCACTGTCGGTACTTCATAACCTTCAGATATTGATCTTTTCCGACTCCCTCATCATTACGACCGAATCTTCGTCTCCAACTGAGACAATTCTCACCAACGAACTGCTCGTCAGTCTGGGACAAACACAGTCTGTCGAAGGGACTTCCAGCCATGCATCACGGCTCACACACACGCTCGTCCCTCACTTGCATACATTCAGTTGCTTCAGTCAGCTTTCATTCGACCACGAAAACTTCTTGCAGTTCGTTAAATCTCGAAGCAGTCCAGCCGAGGAGAAGCCCTTCGCAGTCCAGCTTTCGTGGCTTCCTCGCGCAGATGGCTCTCATCCGCGTTTTGAGCGCAAGGTAGAATCCGAGTTGTGGCAGCTGCACCACCAGCACCAAATAAACTTGTCTATTAAGCAAGAGGTATGAGGAAGTGATGAACCTGATACTGTATGACTCCCTTAGTACTACCTAAATTGATACTATTTGTTTGATTACGGAGTACTGTGTGTTTTGAGTCGAAAGTACTATCAATACGAAGGGAATCCATGTAACAAGTATGTACGGCGCCATTAAGATGACGAGGAAATGCAAAGAAATCGGATAAACGAGGAAAAGACCCGTGCCGAGCAGGATATATACGAAGCAGGGAAAAACGGAAGAAGAGGAGGCTCGGGCGCCTGGCAGGTCTGCAGCACCATTCCGGGATGAAACTAGTCACCCACCGCCTTTTGTCTGCCAATTCCTGCAATCCAGCTGTCCACTCGCGCCCCGAAATTCAGGCCCACAACCAGCAGGTTCCGCAATGTCGCATTCGGCCCGAGCCAGATATGCCCGAACGAGAAAGACAACGTCTATTCCGTGTCCACGCCCAAGTTCTGGCAATGGAGGACATTGAATCGCACATATGGTCGAAACGGGAGTTGAGATTACACCAGAGAGTAACTGGCGACCACAAGATATACTCCATCAAGCTCCAGCGGCACGTCTCGAAGAACTTGGGTCGACTTTACTAAGAAGCGGCGAGCCCAGAAAAAGCGCTCGACAATGGCCTTCCCGTCCGTAATTCGAGGAGGAAACAAATATTTCGGGGGTATCAAAGAGCCCTTCAGCAGAAGATACGGTCGATAGAGTCGTATATGGTGCATATGTGGACATGCAAAATCGATTTGCTGACCGCGTGACAGTCACGGATGTGACGCAAGAGGAAAAGACCAGCGAAAAGGACGTTGCCTAGCCATTTCGATGGTGAGGGCGGTTGAGATGGTATGAATATGTGGCGGGGAGTATATTGGAGGTGCTGAAGACAAGGAATAACCCGTTCATGTGCATAAGTGTTTTGGGGGTAGATGTATCTCCATTCTCGAGATTTGTCGCAAGTGTCGATAGGGATGCTGCGGCGGATGTAGGGATAGATAGTGGGGGCAGGCTGGGAGCGATGGAAGGGCGAACCTGCTGCAAACTCGTCAGCACATGCTACGGACAATAAAAAAGACAGTCACCGTCGCCATTCCCACCGTGGTAATATAAGAGACACCTAAAGGAAACGCGCTAACTGGGTGCATTTTGGTGCGAAATACGTGGAGCAAATGCTGAAGGACGAGGCCAATTGGGTTCTGCATTGGTCAATAGATGGCGCATTTGCGGGGACGGAGTCACGGAGACGCAAATATTCTCTGCCGTAGGTCTGCTTTCGAGAAATGGTCGTGGCAGCAGTGAAAAATGATCAGGGCGGGTGCAGTGAGAGTGCCAAAGAGGCAGCATTGTAGCGCCGCTTGACTGGTGCAAGGCGTCATTCGTACAGAAGCAAGGATACAGAAACCACGCACCATGATATCCCAGTTTCAAGCTTGTGGTTATCCCATGTCGTTGAATTGGTCAACACAGCCGCGAGGCTAAGAAAACTAGTCAGTAAAGCGAGCCAAGAAGCTGTGAGAGCGCACCGGTGTTGGGGCTCCAGCCAACCCAGCCAAACGGCAGATTCAAGCCACACTTTGCGATAATAGATAAGACCGAAACAGCACAGCAGTGTTGGCCGCATTGACGGGGAGGGGGGACCGGGGGGTATTTTCATCAACCCTTGCGCCTTCTGTCTCTAGAGCGGCTTATTGCCCGGGAAAGACTGAGAGCCACGTCCTAGCTCGGCCTCTGCGAGGTGAACGGAGTCATAAGGGCAAGGACGTGCTGAGAATAATGGTGGTGGTCAAGAAGAGAAATTATTTGGTGTGACTTGTCACTTCGCGCTCATTCACTTCGATCCTCTTGATACTCAGCGCTACCAGCACCTATGCAGGCCCGTAATGCGACTAGCGGTAGTGGCTTCAATGTGGCGCCGCACACGAATAATGCGCAAACACTCAACGCTCAAGACCGGATGGCTCTGCGACAAGAAGCAGAAACGATTGACACAACGATCGCTGCACTTAGAGCACGCATAATCGAGCTTAAAATCCGTAAAAAGGTCATTCAGGACAAGCTATCGACCGTTGTCTATCCCATACACACACTTCCTGCCGAAATATTTTGCCACATCTTCCAGACTGCAGTGTCTTTGACGAAACCCGAAGGAGTCAAGGCCATGTTGCTCAGCATCACTGCCGTCTGCCAGCTATGGCGGAGTATTGCGCTCGCCGACTTCTATCTCTGGACCACAACTTGTTATCTCTTGCCAGTGCGTGATCGTGCTTACCACGCGGACGTGCTCTTCGACCATTTCTTGACACGCACTCACGGGCTCCCTATTGTGGTTTACGTTGATAACCGCAAAGGAAGATGGCTTCATCAGAGGCTATTTGAGTCCTGTGGCCAATGGAGGGAAGCACATCTCTCTGTAACCGGGGACATCCCGTTGAAACTCGGACTGAAGACGATCCTAAACTTGCCTCATCTTACCCAGCTCACCCTGGATGTGGACCCCTATGCTGAATATTATGCATATAACACGTTTTCCAACGCGCCACGTCTACAAGATTTGGCCATCAGCTACACATCCTTGCTTTCCACGCTCGCATTTCCGCTACCCCAACTCCGAAAACTTACTCTTCTTCGTAGTGCAACGTCAACCAATCTCGCCCACTTGCTTCCTTTGCTTGTAGCTCTCGAGGAACTCGTGCTAGGCGATGGATGCAACTTCAACGACTTCCGAAGCAATATTGCTTTTCGACGAATCGAATTACCTTTCTTGACGACATTGCGTCTCCTTGGAGAGAACTCATGTGCGCTTATGACTTACTTACTCCTCCCTCACCTCGCCAGTCTACATATCTCCAAACTTAGATACAAGGGGGAGGATTCCATCCTGGAATGTCTCTCGCGCTCCTCGGGTAACATAACTTCTCTGTCCCTCACGAACATAGCCTATCCGGTGTTCCGTCTATTCCTTGAAAATCCGGTCATTAGTGAGGCTCTCGAGGATCTTACAGTCACCCTACTGCCAATGACTCACCGGGAGAACGAGGCCCTCACTATCTTCCTCTCCCGCACCAACTTCCTTCCACGTCTCGAATCGCTGACCCTTGGAACACCCACTGCCGCTGGCCGCGGGCCCTCGCCAACTCTTCGCGCGATAGTAGATGGTTTAGGTCAGCGGGTTCTGGTCGCGACTTCGCATAATCGGAGGCATGAGATTATACTATGCACCGTCTCGTCTACTAGTACCCTCTTGTAGTCTTCGCGCAATGCGCAACCTCAGCAAATTTTGATAATTCTGTTCGAGTGTTTGTCATTCTTCTAGTTTGTGTCCCAGTACTAGTACTTCAGCTTCCGAATCAAGTACATATGTGCTCCCGTCTAAGATTCTAGCCTGAAAACTCGGTGAAGAGAGAAGAGGGCCAATCACGTGTGCGCGATCAACCTCGTCCTCCTGCCGCCATTCGAGTCCCGGCACGACAGACCTGCACCTTCACTAACTACAACTTTTCTGCGCACCTCGCCCCTTCGGAGCGGCTCGTCATCGCTGCTCTCGACAGCACCCGAAGATAAGAGAGAGGAATTGGCCCTGGAAGGTCGGACAAGCTGGCAGATGAGATGACCTCGGCTGTGGATGGGATGCTATAGTCATGGATGCGCAATACAGCAAAAGGGCAATGGGAAGCGCAATGTTGCATGACAAGTATGTGCTCCCGCTCTCTATCCTGTTCTGAATCATCTCTTACCGTATCCCCGATCTCAGTCCATTTGCGGAGTGCCGTTCTATTCTCCCCAAACAACATGTCCCCAGGTGGATCTGAGGCAACACTCTGCTGGAGTTTCACTCACTCAATCCCGTCAACGTCAAATTTCTCTCGCGGCCTTTTGCCATACTCTTCTCCTCAAATGTCTCCCAAATATCGCTCGAATGCATGCACTACGGACTGTATGTCCTTCCTCGCTCTCTACCACTGCAACTGACAATGAGGAATAGTCGTGTTTCAAGCGGTGTTTCTGCTACCAAAGCAATCTTGCTCTCCGACACGATAGCCATTGACGCAAAGCCGACACCCATAACTGCTACTCGTAACTCCTTCCTTGTGGCCATAAAGGTGTGTGAGCCCGTGTCATTGCATTCCGGCTTGCTAATAGTAAATGCGTGGTTATAGAGTCGGAGGGGCACATCCACACACTCTCTCTGGAAGGCCTAGCTATTGGTACCAATTACCGCTTCTGCTCAACGCTCCCAATTTCGACTATCACGGGCAGCATGAACAAGACACAGTTATAGAGCGGAGAAGCGCTAGTTTCGAGAGATACCTCGGCATTCCTTCATCCTCTACCTTGTTTTGCGTTACGACTCATTTACCTCTTATCTATCGACCATACCGACCTCAACATACACCCTTACCCTCCAACGCCACATAGTGTCATCCGGAGTCGATCTCCGCAAGGCTGTCATTGGACACCATTTCGTTTGCGGCTCGACTTAGCCATAGAAAAAGTCAAGAAGCTGCAACTGCGCCGCAGCGGGAATTTGGCCGGCTTTCGTGGATTGGATGGGCTCTCGAAGCTCGAGGAGAGTGCTTTTGTGGCCTGGGAGCAATGATGGCAACCTACTCGACACTTTTGCTCGCTTTCGCCCGACCAGCGCGGAGTTGTCACTTTTCACGAACGCCTTCAATCAGTCTGGGACCTTGATCCAGACCTCATATCCCATCCGACGTTGGGCAATCACTTTTTGTTCCATTATCGACAACAGCGCCGCAGTCAGCGTCCATTCCGTTCCGGGGAGTTTCCCATTTTCGATAAAGCGACATCTTACTTGGCTTCTACCGATCCCAGGTGCTCTATTACTTGGATCATTCCCGTCGTACTTACACATCTGGCAGTTGCTGGATCGTTGCTGAAAGAAGTGGTGTAAGTTTTCATTGGCAATAGCCTGAGCATTGCCCGACTTGCTGAACATGCTTTAGCTCTCTCGCTCGTTGGAATGACTATGGAGCAGGTCAAAAACACGTTTACCATTCGAAACAATATACCCTCTCTTCTGCATTTTGTTCACCCCCCGTCCATTACTCCACGAAATTCTTTACGTAGATATCACCAAGGGAAGACGGGTTCTTCAAGTTTACGATCTATATTTTTACAAAAGAATCCCAAGGCCAACCAAGGCTTGTAATTGTAACGAAAGCATATTAAAGCGATGAACGGGTCTTTGTCCGTCGTAGGTATAATGTGCGTGGGGTATACGTAGGAAGAAGGCCAGCGCGCTCGACATCAAGTCGCTGGCCGCAAAGTCGACACAAAGTGTCCTCAGGTAATCCCTCCAAGGCTCCAACTAAGGTCTACAGCGCCCTTCCGAGAAGAGCGACAACCGCGCCAACGAACATCGAGACAACCGCAATCGACACGCCCGCAGTCCTCGGCGCCGCGCTTGGCGGCTTACTCGTCCCAGCCAGCTCGTGGTCAGAGAACTTGTTCCCGTTTGAGGTAGCCAAGACGGCAGGGTCGATCGTCACTGCCAAAGGAGCTCAACACCGGAATTCGAGAAGCAGAAAGGGGAGAGAACTTACCTGTATTCCTAAACTTGGTCTTTGCCGTCGTCGCAAACGTCTTGCTCGGCAGGCCTTTATCCTCCGTCATCGCGTCGTCCGACAGAAACACCAGCGCAAAGCCCGGCGCAGGCACCACCACCGTGCACGTTTTGGCGTTTCCGTCGCAGGTCACCGTCTTGATGTCCTCCGTCCCCATCGGCCGCCCATCACTCTCAAAGTTCCCGCCAAACGTCTGCCCCGCCCAGGTGATGTTGCCCTTCTGCACAACCGATGCAGCGGCGAGGTATTTGACTTTGACGCTCGCAGGCGTGGTCTTCGTTCCATCCTGGTTGCCCAGCGATATGACGACACTGATGTCGTTGGTGTGGCTGGGGTCATTGACGTAGTTGACGATGGCGACGCGTTTGGGGACACCATTCTCGTAGATGGCGTATACGGGAGTGGAATCGGAAAGTCCCTGGATAGGGAGATCGAGAACTTGCGAGTTGTTGCTTGGGCCAAGAGCCTCTGCCATGATGAGAGCGGAGTAGTAAATCTATCTTGTCAGTCAGCCAAAAGTTTCGACTCGTTGGCTATAACGCACCGGACCAATGGTCCATCCATGGAAAGAACTCTCGTTTGTCGGTGGAGCTGTAAAGGGCTGGAAAAGAATCAGCTAGGTAAATACGATTTCGCGAGACTAACATTGTAGTAGACACTCTGTCCACCCAAGTGGAACATGGCGCCGGAGAAGTTCGAATGGGCCATCTGTAACGCGTAGTCGATGCCCCACAGTGCGGAAACAAACGCGTCCGAGATGCCAAGGAAACCGCCACACGAAGCAGTATTCGTCTCGAACATCAAGAACGGCTTGTTTTTGGTCTGCAGATACATAGTGGTGTTGAGGTATTGCCCCAGCAGCTCCTTGTGTCGACTATGCATCAGGTAGTTCTGCAGAACTTCTTGCGGTTTGACTCCCTTGGCGGGATCGCCGAAACGGGCCTCGGAGGTAAATTAGAGACGAGCAAAAAAGGGTCAACGATCGGTGCTTACTTCGCAGTTTTGGTCAGGGTATCTACGGAAGTAAATTAGGACAGATCGACAAGGACGGAAAACGACATACTTTTCGGCGGCCAGGTAGGCTAAATTTGCGTTGTAGGTGTCGACGAAGCCTGTGTCCCAAACTTGCTCCAGCGTCCAGGCGAATGTAGCGATATTTGGCCCAATGAGATTTTTCGTTGCACGCCCAGTGGGATCCGCGTTGGTGGCGGCAACCTGGCCTAAGAAATCGGAGAACTCGCCAAGGTAGTCGAACGGGCCATAGTTCTGCGGTCGATGCTGGTGGAGGACATACATGTCCGGCTCGTTGCTGGCCTGAAGACCGAGCAGGTAATCGCCGAGGATGAGGTCTGAAGCAGTGACAATCGCGGTGTCGAATGGCTTGGTGACAAACCACGGGATACCGAGGAACCAATGGACATTGACGAAGCTGGAGACATTGCGCATAAGGTAGAGCATGTCAGTGGTGTAGTCGAGGGGAGGAGTTTGTGTTGTGCCGGTGACGTTTTGCAGATCTTTCATCAGGATGCGGCCGTTGGGGAGGCTGTCGACCAGCTTCGCGCTCTCCTGCGTGTTTCCACCCACTCGGACCATGACAGAGCCGGCGCGTTGTTGGATGTTAGCCATCAGGTTGAGGAAGGGGACTTGAATGAGACTCGAGTTTTTGCCCACTGTCAATGAGATCAGCCCCGAGCGGTAAAAATAGGGAACGGAACACGCACAGACTTGATTCGTGACCGACATTTCGATACTGAACCCCATGAACGAGCCCTTCTGCTTAATCGACATCCCCACCGTTCCAGAGTTCTGGCGTCAAAAAGAGCTCAGCAAGCGAACGTCGGGGAAAAGCCGCGCAGCTCACCAGGAGGTTGACCGGGATGGTTTTCATGACATCCGCGGGAATGGGCGGGGGGTTGAGGGTTGTGGGATCGTAGGCCGGTAGGCCAGTGTGGCTGGGGACGCCAGCACTATTCACGCCTGTCGTCATGGGCCGCTGGGCATGGTAAACGGTGATGTCTCCAAACGCGTGTTGTGAAACAAGGGCGAGCAATAGCGCCAAGCGAAGGGGGCCCATGGTAGGGGCTGAAAGGAGTGGAGGGTCGGGAAAGAGTGTCGTCCAAGGCCGTTGTCAGCCACAAGTCACATACGTATGCCAAGACCCTTGGCGTTTGATGTCTGGGTGATCGTGGAAAACGCTGGAAAACGGTCACTTCTACCTTGCTTCTACCACACAATGACCACAGCTATGTATGAAGACTGACTATACACGCGTCCCCCAAATTTCGCCTCTATCCGGTCTCTTTAGTCGTCAGCTCTCCTTCGACATCGCAAATTAATAGAACGCTTGAAGTCTATCCACCATCGTCAGAGCCCATATTATCACTAGCGATGATAAATCTCACCAAATCAAGCCCTCAACAAAATCGTTGGTACAGTATGTCCAACGACGCAAGTATCGAAGCAACAGTCTCATCCACAATAATGAAGACAACGCGAGAGCCTGCCCCCCACAAACGCGTCGTCCGAATCCCGGTTGTCATTTCGGCATTGAGGACACCAAAAGGAAGGAGTCAGCGCCTGGAATGAAAGATTCGGCGTTGGGATATTGTTCCTATAAGAGAGTGAGCATATAACTGAAGTATCCTCTCGCCGTTTGACGCACTGGCCATCTTGGAGAATTGCCCTTGTCGAAACGATAAGGCACAGATAGGTCAATAAGAAGGGGTGAGGCTGAAAAGCGATGTCTATTAGCGAGGGAATAGTAACAAGCGAAATATCAAGGATGGTTCCCTGGAATGAACTGGAAAATGCATCATTATCAGTAAGCACTCGGTAGCAGAAGCGGAAACGAGACATACCAGCGAAACGCTTGGGCCATAGCGCGGAATTTAGCTTGTATTCAGAGAGGTGGGGTCGCCCCGGCCGGTGGCGAAAACGAAGGCGCTTGTGGTAATGGTGGGCGGGAAGGAACAACTTAGAATCCAATCGTCGGCGGAAATAAGATGTGGGTGGGTCGTCTGTGTGAAAGCAAGGAGAAGGGCGTGTTTCAAGACGACAGATATTTGGGTGTCCTTCTTCGCGAAGTAGTGCAGATTGTATCCGAAGACGGCGTCGAGGAAGGCGCTGTGTCGTTTGAGTCGATCACACTGTCGAGGTCAACGCTGGTGAGAAGTAGCCGAACGAGCTGGCGGGGGAGCATGGGTAAAGTCGAGCCTAAAGTCCACGTAAGTGGAGGTCGTGAGCAGTGAAACGGGACACGAACTCTGTAAGGTGTCATCCATCGTAATGAGCTCAAGCGTCCGCGGCCAACGGGTGGGGTAAAGCTAGAGAGCTGGCTAAATCGCAGTTGTGGGTCTTTCGCCCTGCCACAAAAGTGACAGAGCTCGATGTCGTATGGTGCACAGATCCACCATCTACGCGGAGATTGCTATAGTAGGTTCTGTTCGCGCAGGAGCGGAAAGCGAAGCGCGGATGTCCGTGGTCTGGAAAGCGAGCTGCATGAATATGGGAAAATGGGAGAACAAGACCAGGTTACGCACCTCCACCCAATTAAATCCACAGCTATTTGATAGCGGAGAGCTCCTTTTATTGCAGCCTAGGACAAGCGCGCGCGAGTGTTGCGGTGTAGTCAACACGCAGCTAACGCGGAATGAGTCAAAAAAACTGCCAAACACAAAAGTGGATACAGACTTTGGGTCTCTATAACCTATCCTTGCACACACGCCGACGGCGGGCACGGTTGTTGGGACAGTTGCTTCGAAACAGAGGGAGCGAGAGTGGGCATTCTGTGTCGCAGTGGAGAAGATGAAGGAGCAAGTCGTGTGTGACGTCACGCGCTTCACGCTTGAAGTCTTCACCATCATGCTTGTCGAAGGTATTTTAGCCCAGTAAAAGATCGAAGAAAACGGACACGAGGCATACACGAGGTGAGTGCTCACGAAAACTCCCTTGTCTTATCGACTTATGGCCCTCGTCAGAATCTCTCCCGACACTTGGACAACCGGAAGGCGTGCAATCCTCCTTCGAAATCAGCTTCTCCCCAAACTTCTCTCTAACTGGCACCACGGACGTGTGCGGCTGGGGCTGGCGCTTTGCCTGGAAGTGCTCCAATGGCAAAGTCACAGTCTACTTCGACCCGCACTTGCTCGCAAGTGCCAAGTACTAGTATGGGCGCGTATCGTGTGCTGTGTCCTCAGCGGGCTTGGTCGAGGTGCTGCATGACGAATTGCTTTCGCTGACACTGCCGCTCGACCCCTCGCTGCCTCCCGTCACTCCCGGATGGTCTATCGGCGCATGGTCCCGTCGTCCGCAAAAGAGGTTTAGGAAACAGCTACTAGGACCAACCTTACCGGTCTTGAAAATTACCATTGGCTTCGAAGCAGCCAACGCTTTCATCCCTTCTCATCCTCTTACCATCGAGACCCGCCTCCCGTTCTCTGCAGAGCCGCTTCCTGCCCGCATTCGCGCTTGCCTTGTCGACACCATCGACGGCGGGGACCTCATAGATGTCAAGTTTTGGCTCTACTCTCGTGTTGGGAACGGACACGTCTACCATCCCCGCCCGCTCTACGGCAACCTCAAGCTTCTGCGCGGAACGTCAAAGCAATTCCACGAAGGTGTGTTTTCATGCAATATTAATCGCAGAAATCCAGCGCTGACCTCTTTCGTGCTTGTCTGCAGACCTTGACCACTTGCTTAGCGGTTTCGCCGAGTCGAGCCAGACGGATATAGCTACCGACAATCCGCCTCCGGTCGCGTTCGAGGAGTATGATTACATGTCCGACAGCGACCTGGACAACGACGAGGAGGTGGAAGGCGATATTAGAGTTGACGACAAAGCAGGTTTGTCTGCATGCAATTTCCTGACTCTTGCTCGCCTGACTTTGTTTTAGACGCCTCCGCCGCGGCAGAGCCAGACTCGGAGCCAGAACCCTTAGCGGGAACAAGCACGCTATCGACTCAGCTAGATATCCAAAATACCCCAGGCCGTCGTGGTTATCGCATCGTAATCAAAGGCCATGCGTATAATACGTGCGTAGCTTTGAGTCAACATTTTCTGTCTGCTCAAACAAACATTTGTCAAGGTGGAAAGCGTTGCTCTACTATCTTTACACCGGGCAAATCCACTTCCGCAAGATCAAGGCAGGTATACGCCAAACTCCAGCTGTCCAAAGAGAAGAGGGTGCTCCGGAATGTTCCCCAAAATCTATGTACAAGCTCGCAGATAAGGTGAGCCTCTCGTTTGCCTGCTCTTCAATTTGCTGAAACCTGAGCATTAGCATGGCCTCGAGACCATTAAAGCCCGTGCGCTTGAGTCGATACGTTCCCAAATGTCGGTCGACAACATTGTCCATGAAGTCTTCTCCAATTTTACCGCCATGTATGTCCGTTCTTTGGCCCGTAGGGCTTGTTTTCCTGAATCTCCACGTTTGGATAGGTTTGATGAAATCAAGACAATGCAAGTCGCCTTCTTGCGAGACCATTTGCACGACCCCGTTGTCCGTGACGGGCTGACGGGTATGCTGCTTCATCTGTGCGCTGGCCGTGGGTCTTCCGCCTCGGCTGCAGTGCTCCAGGCTGTCATCTTTGGCCCTAACATACTATAGTTTGGAGCCGATTACATGCTTAGTTGCGTCAAGTTCGTCGTGATCTGGGATTAACATTGTATTCTGTAGAGAAATGATAACAACTTGGTTCATATCTCTCGTCCTGGAATTCACGTCCACTGTGAACACTTCCATCCACCCTTGAATCTGAGTTCGTTCACGGGAACCCGGCGTCCACCACCAGCCGTAGCTCCGCCCACCGACGGTGCTGTTGCACAAAGATCGGATGCTTCGCAACTTGCTTGCGCAGTTCACGCCCGCGGACAACAAATGTCCTCCCTGCAACAGACTCGGCCGCGGGCACGTGGCTCCAGTACGTAACGAGGAAACGTATCGTGTTGACGAGCATCTGGATGTGGGATGCTGCAGCCGGCGACGGCGGCGGATTATCAAGCTCGTATGTGATCCGCTCGACCCGGGAGAAAACCAGCTCGGTGGGGGCGGTGCTGCGCTTTAGGCGCGGGACCAGGCTCATCAACTGGCCAAGCAGATGGAGGCCCTCCACGGGGAACGGGTGGAACGACTCCTTGATGTCGAGCACGCGCAGGCCAGGGAGGTTGGCAAGGATGCACTCGAGGCCGGTGGGCGATACGTCGGCGATGTAGTGGAGGGCCAGCGTGGTGACGCGAGTGTAGTGGCGGATCAGCCGGGCGGCAATGTGGGGCAGCCACACCAGTGGTATCCTGCAGTTACTCTGGATGGCGAGCAGCTCGAGTGACGGGAGCGGCAACGACAGCAGCACGCACGACCAATTGTCGTGCTTGCCATCGAGCATGAGGCCCCGGAGGCCCCGGGCCGCATGGTCCCGCTCTCCCGCTTTGAGTCTGCCAGCGAGCCTGAGGTAGCGGACCAGTGAACAACTAATATGCCATGCAAGAAATCGCAGCCCAGTCCAGTCAATGCTGTCCAGGATTGCTTGTAGCTCCGCGTCTGCAACCAGTGCGATGCTGAGGCGGCGTAATGGGGCGCTCTTAAGCGCAGCCAGAAAGTGGACTTCGTCGCGCAAGCCCCGGAACATCTGCACACAGGACAGAGACGCCAGCCGCGACAGGTCGCTCGGGAGGTTCATGTCCTCCATCTTCCCCACCCTGACGAGATCCAACGCGGCAAACCGGGCCGAATGGGCAAACAGCGTGTTGCTCAAAGCGATGAACTGCGCATTGCGGGTGTCCTCTTGGCCATCGTTGCCCCAGATGACAACCCGCAGCGAGTGCTGCTTAGAGAGCGCGAGATGGCGGAGGATGTCTGCTTGCGTGAGCGGCATTGTCTGGAAGTTGGCCAGAGTACTAGTCTCCCTTGACTCCATATCAACAACAATGGTGGCCCATAGCGTCGCGTTAGAGAGGACCACCGTGTTCCAGGCGCGGCAGACCTCGCGCAGCGGGTAGTGCGCCGTCATCGCATTTCTGAGGCGGGCGCTCCGTGACGCGCTGTCCAGGCGCATCAGCGATTGTGGGATGTAAGGGGGGACGGCGACATTGACATTTCGGCGCCGTGGAGGCAGGTATGAATGGGTGGATGTGCCATGAGTTATATATACTGTAGGTCGGAGCCTGATAATGGTCGTTGACTGGCATATAGAGACAGTGGCGCGGGATGCCATCTTCCCGAAGAAAGTAGATGCTGTAGAGCTTGATCTGATCGCGGGAGGCTGAGAAGATGATGCAAGTTCCCCTACTTAGGGCCAAGGACATGGGGCAAATGAAGGAAAGAAAGGATGACGGGGTACTAGTAAAACTCGGAGTCTGTTGCGGAAAAGAGCCATACGGGAGTTGCCATTGACAATAGGCTGATTCCTACTTGAAGATGAGAAAGAGCTTTAGTTGCGGGTTGGGCGATTCACTAGCGAGATGGCTCGTTCGTCTTGATAGATTTGCATGCTGTTCAGCGTCGTGGCGCCATTGAATCGCTTTTGGCAGAGTTCGTACACGTGATCAAAAACAACCATCCGCTGGCCCAAAAAGGAAAGCGAATCTCTCCCTTCTCTTCCTCCATGTCGTCCGGACCGACAACCCCGAGGCTCTTCCTTCTCCCATTGCACACGACAGGGCCCTTAACCTCGGCGTGGGCTGGACTTCGAACTCGATAATATCGTAGGCAGGATGAAGGGAAGGCGGAACGGGTAGGACGGGACAGAGGGAGGGGATGAAGGGCGTTAGTCTGGGGCGGTCAGACTATGCTGCGCTGTTTCCTGCACTATGAAAGGTGTGTTTCAACAGGCTGCTCCTTCCGCAAGAGTGCCCATCTCACATTTCCCCTCGCAAGGCAAACCGTTGTCCTCCACATTCACTGACTCCCCGGGTTTGATGCGCTGTGGAAGCAAATATAGGCCCGCGAAGATCACTGGCGGAGCTGAGAAGATTGAGGGTGCGTTCTTGGCCTTATTTCCTGGGACTCGAAGCTTATTTCTCGTAGACAATGCCAAGCGCGGCACCTGCTTCGTCTGCATTGGCCTCACCACGGCCTTTCCCTCACCCTGATGTCAATCGTTATCCGCCGCCGCAACTCCAAGGCCGCGGGATGCTATCGTTGCTGCTCATATGTTTATTGCCGAAATGGCGCCCCTACACCGACACAAATAGCTGCCAGCCCACCAGCAGACCTTCCCCCACACCTCATTCTCATCACCCGCTGCCACTCTCGCGCAACGGCTTACCGCAATATGGACACCAAGAAATAAGCTGCTTCAGACAGAGAGAAGGCAGCAGGGCGGATGAAAAGGCCGCCCCGTACGTTCACCCTCGGCATTCTGGCCAACACGCTACAGCGGCTTTCTGTTCTATCCACGATCGCGAAGATGGGCTGAAATCAGCTGTCGGGTTGGGTGGCCGGAACCCGAATAATTGTGCGCTCCAGCAGCTTCTTTCCTCGCCTTACTAACCAGTTTTCTTAGTTTGGCGGCTGTCGCTTGCGTCGGGTTGACTTATCCAACAACGTGGAATAACGAGGGCTTGGAACTGGGTTATCACGGTGCGTGGTTCCTTCATACTTGCCCCTTCATGAATGACGCGTTTCACCAGTCGGGCAGCGGCGTCTGGGGAGCTCCTTCTTCGCATCCCTCGCTGTCATTCACTGCCGTTACAAACGAGTCGTACAAGCGGACCTACAACAGAGAGAGTATTTGTGTCTCCATGACTCTCCCCGCATATGCGGTCGATTAACTGATGCGGAATCCAATTGGCCTCGTCCTCCAGCATTTGGCCCGGGCATTCCGCACCAAAATCCACCCATTGAGCGCATTTACTTTCGGTGCTTCTCCTGCATTACAACGGTCGGAATGACAATGGTGCCTTTATTCTTTTGTCCGTACCATGTGCTGACAAGTTTGCAGCGGGTTCGCCCTTCCATAGCTTCCACCCTGTCACCACTATCTATCCCCACATCCGCCTCAGCATCCCTATCGAAACTTGCAACAAATCTCGAGAATGGAGAAAACTACACTCAAAAACCTTTGGACGTGCACGTGAACGGGTTATTTCTTGTCTTCGACACCTCCTATATACTCCCCGCCACACGTTGATACCATCTCAACCGCCCTCACCATCGAAATCGCTAGACAATGTCCTCTTCGCTGGTCTTTTCCTCTCGAGTCACGCCCGTGACTGTCACGCATCAGCAAAGCGATTTTGCATGTCCACATACGCCCCATATACAACTCCATCGACCGTATCTCCTGCTGAAGGACTCTTCTCTACTCCGGAAATATTTGTTTCGTCCTCGAATTGCGGACGGGAAGGCCATCGTCGAGCGCTTTTTCTGGGCTCGCCGCTTCGAAGTAAAGTGGACCCAAGTTCCTCGCGAGATGGCGCTGGGGCTTGATGGAGTATATCTTGTGGCCGCCAGTCACTCTATGGTGTAATCCCAATTCCTGTTTCGACCATATGCGGGCCCAAATGTCCTTCATTGCCAGAACTTGGGCATGGACACGGAATAGACGTTGTCTTTCTCGTGCGGGCATATCTGCCGCGGGCCGAATGCGACATTGCGGAACCTGCTGGTCGTGGGCTTGAATTGCGGGGCGCGAGTGGACAACTGGGTTGCAGCGATTGGCAGACAAAAGGCGGTGGATGACTAGTTTCATCCCGGAATGGTGCTGCAGACCTGCCAGTGGGCGCCCGGGCCTTCTTTTCTTCTTCCGTTTTTCCTGATTCGTATATATCCTGCTCGGCAAGGGTATTTTCCTCGTTTATCGGATTTCTTTCCATTTCGTCGTCATCTTGATGGCGCCGTACATACTTGTTACACGAATTCCTTCGTCTTGATAGTACTTTCGACTCAAAACACACAGTACTCCGTAATGAGACAAATAGTATCAATTCAGGTAGTACTAAGGGAGTCATACAGTATCAGGTCCATCACTTTCTTAGTCCTCTTGCTTGATAGACAAGTTTATTTGGTGCTGGTGGTGCAGCTGCCACAACTCGGATTCTACCTTGCGCTCAAAACGCGGATGAGAGCCATCTGCGCGAGGAAGCCACGAAAGCTGGACTGCGAAGGGCTTCTCCTCGGCTGGACTGCTTCGAGATTTAACGAACTGGAAGAAGTTTTCGTGGTGGAATGAAAGCTGACTGAAGCAACTGAATGTATGCAAGTGAGGGACGAGCGTGTGTGTGAGCCATGGTGCATGGCTGCAGTCCCCTCGGACAGACTGTGTTTGTCCCAGACTGACGAGCAGTTCGTCGGTGAGAATTGTCTCAGTTGGAGACGAAGATTGGGCGTAATGATGAGGGAGTCGGAAAAGATCAACGTCTGAAGGTTATGAAGTACCGACAGTGCGGATAGCAGCTCTGCGCTGGTAATAAGGACTTCTCGAATGTTGAGCGTTTACTACATACTCGTTACGTAGAATGACAGGAATGCCCTCAATGTTCTGAGGGAGACTCCCTCGCGATCGCCACTATTTGGTTTTGTACTCATCCACCAATTGGGAGTGTCTGAATTACAGTAAGGGTACCAAGGAAAAGTGATGTTTTGCTTGTTACGCAAGTACTCTTTAATTA